GCTTCCTCACATTTTTCGGTCCACACAAACTTCTTCGACTTTTTGAGGAGTTCCGTTAGTGGCGTTATAATTGTGGCGAAGTCAGGGATGAAACGTCTGTACCAAGAAAACGTTCCCACTACTCTTCGTACCTCGCGTACATTAGTAGGAGTAGGTAGTTGTAACATTGCCTTCACCTTGTCACTATCTACGTGCAATCCATTCCTGTCAACCATATAACCCAGATATTTCATTTCTGGTCGACAGAATTGACATTTTTCCCAACTAACTGTTAACTTAGCTTCTCGTAGTCTTCTGAAAACCTCTTCTAAAATAGCTAAATGTTGCTCAAACGTTTGAGTCACCACAACCACATCATCCAGATATACAAATACGTGTGGTTCTAAGTCAGCCCCTAAGACACGATCTATTAGTCTTTGCCATGTAGCCGGGGAATTATGCAAACCAAAGGGCATCCTTCTGAATTGGAACAGGCCTCGACCTGGTACGGTAAAAGCAGTAAATTGTTTAGATGATTCTGCCATCGGCACTTGCCAATAAGCCGACTTAATGTCAAGCGAGGACAGATAATGTGCGTCCCGCAACTTGTCTAGAGTGCTAGTTACATAAGGCAATGGATAACTATCACGCTCTGTAACTTTATTGAGTTTGCGAAAGTCGACACAGAATCGATAACCACCATCTTTTTTCTTTACCAATAAAATCGGTGACGACCATCCACTGTTTGATTTCTCAACAATTCCTTGCTTCAACATTTCTTCCAATTCACGGTCTATTTGTGCTTGTATTACTGGTGAAACAGGGTAATACCGTTGCTTAATTGGTGGAGACTTAGTTACAATAACGTGTTCCACTAGGTCAGTACATCCTAAAGACTCTCCCATCAAGTGCTTGTTTCTTCTTACTACAGCCTGTAGACAGGCTTCTTGCAATTCTGTTAAGGTCGTTTTTCCACGCAAATGATCCACTTCGTCCAGACAGATTGGTTGATCCGAGAAATGCCATTCATTGCGTCGTAGGTCAGGAACAATGCCCATGGCTTTCCAAAAATTAGTACCCAATATCAAAGCATGCGGCAATTGTGGTACCACTAACACCTTCACTAGTTTTACCTTACCTCTTACGCACATAGGAACATCACATTCACCTATACTGGCAACACTTTGGCCATTTGCTATGGTACATTTAGGTCTTCTTGTTACATCAATCTCAAAACCAAAATCTTTTATGAGCTGATATCCTCTACCACCGACAATAGTTGTCGAAGCACCAGAGTCCAGTAATCCTAGAAGAGTTTTTCCAAGTATATCTATTCTTAGATAGGGACGCTCATCATTCTGCGCATGATCTAAGATGAAATCCAAAATTGGTTGAAAATTTTTGGTCGATTTTTCAGGTTCGACGGACTTAATTCGACCCTTTAAGTTCGTCGATTTCCGTTTCCCTGGTTATTACAAGTTGGGCAATTCCGTACGGTGAACCCCTCTTTGCGGCATTTGAAACAGGTAAGTTTCTTCGTTTGAGCGCATCCAACGGCTTTATGTCCTGGCTGTTGACAACGGAAACATACAATGGGTTTCGATGAACCCGTGCTGCGGTTAGATGAAGATGAGGTTTCGACCGTATCCACCTTTCCCGATGCATCTATATAAGCTAAGTCCCTCTCCAAGAAACAGTTTCGACGGGAAGAAGGTTCTACATAATTTCTAATTGTATCTCTTCTTGCTTCCATACTTCTACAAGCAGAGCGGAGTTCATCCAAACTTGATGGCATGGGGTCACGTAGTCTTTCCAAATAGTAAGGATGAAGATTCTTCAAAATTATTGTTAATTTAACATCCTCGGAAATTGGCCGAGCTAAGCGGTTAAAATAACTTGACATGACAGCTAAGTATACTCCAATTGATTCAGTTGGGTGTTGTGTCCTGTGGCGCAATTCTTCAAACAGGTCTTCTTCATAATGTGCAGACAGAAATTCGTTTTTAAATTCAGTTACCAACTCATCCCACGTTGTTACTCTGTCTCGGCAATCTTTATAGAATTGATATGCCTTGTCACAAAATAAATCGATGCCAGAGTTTAACAATGTTTCTGGAGAAACATTTCTGGCCGCTCTTAATTCTTCCACGTGTTCAAAGAACGCGTTGATAGACATGTTGCATCTCTTGTCACCAGTATATTTCTGAATATTCCATTTATGTGGTGGAATAGTTTTAATGCTCCCGCAATGTTGACTTCCACTCTGTCGTCCACCAGGATCAGTCAAATTCCCCAACGATGATGATGTAGATACGTTTCCTAAACCTGCATGAAATGTGCTAGGTCCCGCCTGTCCTGCTACAAAACTCAACGTAGGTAGAATGCCATGTTGTTTAGATTCAAACTCTTCAATTTTTCTTGAGAATTCTTGCCTCAGTGACAGGATTCGTGCCAGCAGTTCAGATTTCTTCTGTTGTTTCTCAACATCTTCACCAACCATATTATTTAATCGTCCCATAGTATGACTGAATTTAGTATGCAGTTTCACAGCGGCGTTACTTTTGCTGCCATCATTAAATTTGTCTACCATTCCTTCGATAACTTCCAGTGTCTTCGTAACGGCGTCACAATCTTCATCGAACTTAAATGGATAAGGGGGATACTTGATACTATCTCCTTCCTTTTCCAGTTGCATTGCTTGTAATAATCGGTGTCTCATCTCTTCAACTCTTCCAGTACCGATACCACGTACCGTTAATTCGTAAATGAGTTCATCCTTATCAAGGCGATTAATTTGCATTTTCTGTGACATCTTGAAAATTCCTCGATGAATTAATATATAAAATACTAATATCCCTATTCTACACTAGACTAAACCACTAACTCAGAATTTTTACCACTTATATGAAATATTGTTTAATTTACAAGTGATTACCAAAAAAAAAACAAAATAATGCCCGTAAAAATTGAAAATCGTTACGTAATACTATAACTGTAACCACCGCAAGATATAGAAGACCGTTCTCCGAGAGTCAAAGTCCGAATAAAAAAAAATAATAATGGCGAATGAAAATATTTGAGTAAAAAAAATATTGCTGATATATCGGTGAATACTACACTATTTGCTTTATAATCGGGCCCCACGTTGGGCGCCAAAAATCTGCGACGTAAAAAAATCAATTAAGAAATATATATAAATCGCCGACAGACCACTTCAGCTGCCAATGTCAGATGACAGTTGGATATTCTCCGGCCAGCGAACAGTGGAGATGGGCTGGATTCAAAATTATGATGTTAACTTGGGCGCCAAGTAAATTACTATCCACTTAAATATCCCCCAGTGATATAACCCCCCAATTTACTAAACAAGGGTTAAAAAAAATGATAACTATGTAGCAACTAATATAATTACCAATTGTAGATTCACACAATATATCACCAATATACCATACAAGGAAAGTAATTGGCTTCATAAGCTAAGGTAAGTAATAATAAAAATATATATATATACCTATATATGAAAATAATTAAGGTAAGTTGAGTGAAGTTGTAAATTTACTACTAAAGATCTTATAATAATCAACACTAAGCTACACGCAACACTGTAGAATATTATGAAAATAATTATTGCCTTTAATAAAAAAAAACAAAGAGAGCAGAAATTAACAATATTTCAATAATATGTGTTTCGCGTTAGAAATAGATTCATAAAACGTGGCTTAAGCTTAAGCGTTTCTTGCAAAATATAATAATAAAAATATGTGACTAAATAAGTTACACCTCTGTGAACACCCGGTATATATCGTTGGAAGATAAGACAATTATGAATTAATTTCCGCTTCACGTAAATTATTTCCACAAACTGGATACTTCAGCAAAATTCTTAATAACCAAATTTACTCTACAGTATACGTTAAAAAAAAATGCCACAATCTATGCCTATTACTATTCGTTCGCTTAAATACAACAAGTAATTATTAATCGATCTTCCCACAGGAAGTCGTAGTAACAAAAAAAATATATTATAATAGCTAATCAGAAAGAAGGAAAAGATATTTATATACAAAAAAAAGGTTTTTAAATAACTTGCATGACGTGACTCTCGGATGTAGGTTCTCTCCTTCGTCGGACCCTCCTTGAATACGCTGCAGTTGCGGATGCAACGCACAACGGATGCGCTGCAGTCTCAGCGACGGACGTGCCAATTGAACAACAAGAAGGACAGTACCCACCAGCGTAAATCCCTAGGTGGACACTAGGTCACGGTTTGACTCTCTCACCACGTTGAATTCGAGCCGATGGCAGGCTGAACACCTAGTGCAGCCTAACGTTGAGAATCAACGTGTCAGTCCCCAGAAAAACCCTTAGAAATTAAAATTAGGATAATTAACACACTAAAACACTACAAATAGGATGGTTTACCTTCACTGAAGGGTTTCCCACTCAAAAGTAACAATCCCAAAACACAATGGCATGTATTCCAAAACCAAAAAGGGACGTTCGAAAATGGGTGCAGTTTAATCCTCATAGAAGCTGTGATTTCGCCTGAATTATTCACCAGCCAACAACTTCAGGAAACAAACAACATAAATCACTAAATATACCCGCACAAAAATTACTCCCTAAACGGATGATTATGGATAATCATAACAACATTTGTACGAGCGCAGGCACCATTTTTCAACGAACCAACATCAATCTTGACCTGCGTTCCAGGTCGGAAGTGAAAAATTAGAGTGGGAGACATCCTCTTCAGGAAACCTTTCCGAAAACCATCTTCCGGTCTTGGCCTAGTCGCGGGATCAAAAATTTACGTTAACTTATCACCCAGCTGATCTGTTTGTACCTCTCCACCCGAGATGGCGCGGTAAGTATCGTATCGAATATTAATACATTTAAATATTAATATAATTGTAATATGGATATTTAACTATTTTTTTTTTTTAGGTTCCTTATTATAACGTGTGAGGATGAAGTCAATAATTGCTAACCTGAAGGTATTATGAGATAACAAAATTTTATTCAATTGTAATAATGCGATTGATATTTTAGCAATAAGTAAGACGTTCCTAGCTAAATTCTATTCGAGGTATTATTTCAAGAACTGAGTGATTTACGGATATGAATGTGTAAAGGACATAGTCCTATACCAGGAAGATCGGAAGTACACTTTTGATAATCCTAAACAATTGGAAAATATTACAGAAGAATTTAATCTAATTATTTTTTTTTTAAACACCACACTGATAAGAGACTTTACCAACAAAAATAAAGCTAACTATAAAAACTATTTCACCAAGGAATTATATTATTAAACTATTAAATATAGATATCTACATATATACAGGGTATTATTATTTTAATTTTTAGTGCCCAATCTTTAAGTGGAAAATAAACCGTAACAACTCCCCCCTTCCGTGAAGAAAATTTACCCCTGTAAATTTTCTAAAGGGTAAGTAGATTTCAAATCCTTAACATTCCATACGTCTTTAATATTTCCGCGCTCGTCCCGTAATTCATAAGTCCACGGAGAAAGCTTCCGTCTGATATAGAATGGCCCTATGAACTTTGGAGCTAACTTACTCGTGAAGTAATTTGCTGCGTTCGACAGTACGTAGTTTTTCCTCCAAACTGGCTGTCCTACTGTAAATTCTTCGTTTCTTCTCCTCAAGTTGTACGTCTTCTCACTTTTCTTTGCTGCGATATCAAGTCTTCTTCTTACTTCTCTAAATAATTTCGCGAATCCTTCTTGGCGAGCATTATTGTCTTCTCGGTTGGAGTCTTCTGTATCCTCAATCTGAACCCTTTGTTCGTATTCTTCACCATGGAGTACCATTTTCCGACCAAAATTAACATAATATGGAGTGTGATTTGTGGACTCATGTTTTGCCGTTCTTGTCGCACATGCAATTTTTGATAAATTAACATCCCAGGTTCTGTGGTTATCCGAAACAAACATCGACAACATAGTTTTAATAGTTTTGTTGTATCTCTCGGTAGGATTGGCCTGCGGATGATAATTCGCATTAAAACGGATCCGTACTCCATACTGTTCCATGAGCTTCTTAAATTGTCTCGATTTGTACTGTGGCCCGTTATCACAAATCGCTAATCTCGGTACACCGTACACAAGAAATACTTCCTCTTCGATTTTCTTAGTGACCATATCTGCTGAAGCAGATCTGAGCGGAAACACCAACGAAAATTTACTAAATAAATCGGTCACCACTAAGATGTATTGATGTCCACGATTCGAACGAGGGAAAGGTCCCATTAAATCTGATGATATTATCTCCCATGGTTGTCGAGCTGGCGGTTGAGCAGTCATGAATCCTTTGGGAGCCTTCTGTTCCGGTTTATAAGCAGCGCAAATAGCACACTTCCTGACATATTTCGCAATGTCACTCTTCATCTTCGGCCAATAGAACCTTTCGCAGATTCGATGGTAGGTCTTAAAAATCCCCATATGACCTGCTGTCGGTAGATCATGTGCTGCCGATATAATAGTTTTCCGGTTTCTCTTCGGAATTACTCTCTTCCAGCAGTCCCCTGGTACAGTTAACTCCGGATATTTAGACTTCACGTACTTAAACAACTGACCATCAGCCACTCTCCAGTTTGGATATCTTAACGGTTCTTTCTCAGTTTTCTCCAACATATTCTTATACCATCTGTCTTCTGCGTCATCTATGACCTTCTCCACCGCATCTACTATCGGTACTGATCTTGACAATGCATCCGGTACTAGATGTTCTTTCCCTTTCCGATGGACTATGGTAAAATTATATTGTTGAAGACGTACCGCCCATCTGGCAAGTCGTCCAGTTGGATCCTTTAAGTTTTGCAACCAGACCAGAGAATAATGATCTGTAACGACAGTAAAAGGTACTCCTTCGATATATGGTCTTAGTTTTTCTACTGACCATAGGACAGCTAAGCACTCTCTTTCCGTTGTTGTAAAATTTCGTTCTTGACGGGTCAATGAACGACTGAGATAACATATAACTTTATCTCCGTCAGTATGGGGTTGTGTCAACACAGACCCAATTCCGTATCCAGATGCGTCACATTGGATGACGAAAGGCAAGTTATAATCGGGACAACTGAGTACAGGAGCTGTCACCAAGAATTCTTTGATCTTCTGGAAAGCTTCCTCACATTTTTCGGTCCACACAAACTTCTTCGACTTTTTGAGGAGTTCCGTTAGTGGCGTTATAATTGTGGCGAAGTCAGGGATGAAACGTCTGTACCAAGAAAACGTTCCCACTACTCTTCGTACCTCGCGTACATTAGTAGGAGTAGGCAGTTGTAACATTGCCTTCACCTTGTCACTATCTACGTGCAATCCATTCCTGTCAACCATATAACCCAGATATTTCATTTCTGGTCGACAGAATTGACATTTTTCCCAACTAACTGTTAACTTAGCTTCTCGTAGTCTTCTGAAAACCTCTTCTAAAATAGCTAAATGTTGCTCAAACGTTTGAGTCACCACAACCACATCATCCAGATATACAAATACGTGTGGTTCTAAGTCAGCACCTAAAACACGATCTATTAGTCTTTGCCATGTAGCCGGGGAATTATGCAAACCAAAGGGCATCCTTCTGAATTGGAACAGGCCTCGACCTGGTACGGTAAAAGCAGTAAATTGTTTAGATGATTCTGCCATCGGCACTTGCCAATAAGCCGACTTAATGTCAAGCGAGGACAGATAATGTGCGTCCCGCAACTTGTCTAGAGTGCTAGTTACATAAGGCAATGGATAACTATCACGCTCTGTAACTTTATTGAGTTTGCGAAAGTCGACACAGAATCGATAACCACCATCTTTTTTCTTTACCAATAAAATCGGTGACGACCATCCACTGTTTGATTTCTCAACAATTCCTTGCTTCAACATTTCTTCCAATTCACGGTCTATTTGTGCTTGTATTACTGGTGAAACAGGGTAATACCGTTGCTTAATTGGTGGAGACTTAGTTACAATAACGTGTTCCACTAGGTCAGTACATCCCAAAGACTCTCCCATCAATTGCTTGTTTCTTCTTACTACAGCCTGCAGACAGGCTTCCTGCAATTCTGTCAAGGTCGTTTTTCCACGCAAATGATCCACTTCGTCCAGACAAATGGGTTGATCCGAGAAATGCCATTCATTACGTCGTAGGTCAGGAACAATGCCCATGGCTTTCCAAAAATTAGTACCCAATATCAAAGCATGCGGCAATTGTGGTACCACTAACACCTTCACTAGTTTTACCTTACCTCTTACGCACATAGGAACATCACATTCACCTATACTGGCAACACTTTGGCCATTTGCTATGGTACATTTAGGTCTTCTTGTTACATCAATCTCAAAACCAAAATCTTTTATGAGCTGATATCCTCTACCACCGACAATAGTTGTCGAAGCACCAGAGTCCAGTAATCCTAGAAGAGTTTTTCCAAGTATATCTATTCTTAGATAGGGACGCTCATCATTCTGCGCATGATCTAAGATGAAATCCAAAATTGGTTGAAAATTTTTGGTCGATTTTTCAGGTTCGACGGACTTAATTCGACCCTTTAAGTTCGTCGATTTCCGTTTCCCTGGTTATTACAAGTTGGGCAATTCCGTACGGTGAACCCCTCTTTGCGGCATTTGAAACAGGTAAGTTTCTTCGTTTGAGCGCATCCAACGGCTTTATGTCCTGGCTGTTGACAACGGAAACATACAATGGGTTTCGATGAACCCGTGCTGCGGTTAGATGAAGATGAGGTTTCGACCGTATCCACCTTTCCCGATGCATCTATATAAGCTAAGTCCCTCTCCAAGAAACAGTTTCGACGGGAAGAAGGTTCTACATAATTTCTAATTGTATCTCTTCTTGCTTCCATACTTCTACAAGCAGAGCGGAGTTCATCCAAACTTGATGGCATGGGGTCACGTAGTCTTTCCAAATAGTAAGGATGAAGATTCTTCAAAATTATTGTTAATTTAACATCCTCGGAAATTGGCCGAGCTAAGCGGTTAAAATAACTTGACATGACAGCTAAGTATACTCCAATTGATTCAGTTGGGTGTTGTGTCCTGTGGCGCAATTCTTCAAACAGGTCTTCTTCATAATGTGCAGACAGAAATTCGTTTTTAAATTCAGTTACCAACTCATCCCACGTTGTTACTCTGTCTCGGCAATCTTTATAGAATTGATATGCCTTGTCACAAAATAAATCGATGCCAGAGTTTAACAATGTTTCTGGAGAAACATTTCTGGCCGCTCTTAATTCTTCCACGTGTTCAAAGAACGCGTTGATAGACATGTTGCATCTCTTGTCACCAGTATATTTCTGAATATTCCATTTATGTGGTGGAATAGTTTTAATGCTCCCGCAATGTTGACTTCCACTCTGTCGTCCACCAGGATCAGTCAAATTCCCCAACGATGATGATGTAGATACGTTTCCTAAACCTGCATGAAATGTGCTAGGTCCCGCCTGTCCTGCTACAAAACTCAACGTAGGTAGAATGCCATGTTGCTTAGATTCAAACTCTTCAATTTTTCTTGAGAATTCTTGCCTCAGTGACAGGATTCGTGCCAGCAGTTCAGATTTCTTCTGTTGTTTCTCAACATCTTCACCAACCATATTATTTAATCGTCCCATAGTATGACTGAATTTAGTATGCAGTTTCACAGCGGCGTTACTTTTGCTGCCATCATTAAATTTGTCTACCATTCCTTCGATAACTTCCAGTGTCTTCGTAACGGCGTCACAATCTTCATCGAACTTAAATGGATAAGGGGGATACTTGATACTATCTCCTTCCTTTTCCAGTTGCATTGCTTGTAATAATCGGTGTCTCATCTCTTCAACTCTTCCAGTACCGATACCACGTACCGTTAATTCGTAAATGAGTTCATCCTTATCAAGGCGATTAATTTGCATTTTCTGTGACATCTTGAAAATTCCTCGATGAATTAATATATAAAATACTAATATCCCTATTCTACACTAGACTAAACCACTAACTCAAAATTTTTACCACTTATATGAAATATTGTTTAATTTACAAGTGATTACCAAAAAAAAAACAAAATAATGCCCGTAAAAATTGAAAATCGTTACGTAATACTATAACTGTAACCACCGCAAGATATAGAAGACCGTTCTCCGAGAGTCAAAGTCCGAATAAAAAAAAATAATAATGGCAAATGAAAATATTTGAGTAAAAAAAATATTGCTGATATATCGGTGAATACTACACTATTTGCTTTATAATCTGGCCCCACGTTGGGCGCCAAAAATCTGCGACGTAAAAAAAAATCAATACAATACATCAATATATAAATCGCCGACAGACTACTTCAGCTGCCAATGTCAGATGACAGTTGGATATTCTCCGGCCAGCGAACAGTGGAGATGGGCTGGATTCAAAATTATGATGTTAACTTGGGCGCCAAGTAAATTACTATCCACTTAAATATCCCCCAGTGATATAACCCCCCAATTTACTAAACAAGGGTTAAAAAAAATGATAACTATGTAGCAACTAATATAATTACCAATTGTAGATTCACACAATATATCACCAATATACCATACAAGGAAAGTAATTGGCTTCATAAGCTAAGGTAAGTAATAATAAAAAAATATATATACATATATATGAAATTAATTAAGGTAAGTTGAGTGAAGTTGTAAATTTACTACTAAAGACCTTATAATAATCAACACTAAGCTACACGCAACACTGTAGAATATTATGAAAATAATTATTGCCTTTAATAAAAAAAAACAAAGAGAGCAGAAATTAACAATATTTCAATAATATGTGTTTCGCGTTAGAAATAGATTCATAAAACGTGGCTTAAGCTTAAGCGTTTCTTGCAAAATATAATAATAAAAATATGTGACTAAATAAGTTACACCTCTGTGAACACCCGGTATATATCGTTGGAAGATAAGACAATTATGAATTAATTTCCGCTTCACGTAAATTATTTCCACAAACTGGATACTTCAGCAAAATTCTTAATAACCAAATTTACTCTACAGTATACGTTAAAAAAAAATGCCACAATCTATGCCTATTACTATTCGTTCGCTTAAATACAACAAGTAATTATTAATCGATCTTCCCACAGGAAGTCGTAGTAACAAAAAAATATATTATAATAGCTAATCAGAAAGAAGGAAAAGATATTTATATACAAAAAAAAGGTTTTTAAATAACTTGCATGACGTGACTCTCGGATGTAGGTTCTCTCCTTCGTCGGACCCTCCTTGAATACGCTGCAGTTGCGGATGCAACGCACAACGGATGCGCTGCAGTCTCAGCGACGGACGTGCCAATTGAACAACAAGAAGGACAGTACCCACCAGCGTAAATCCCTAGGTGGACACTAGGTCACGGTTTGACTCTCTCACCACGTTGAATTCGAGCCGATGGCAGGCTGAACACCTAGTGCAGCCTAACGTTGAGAATCAACGTGTCAGTCCCCAGAAAAACCCTTAGAAATTAAAATTAGGATAATTAACACACTAAAACACTACAAATAGGATGGTTTACCTTCACTGAAGGGTTTCCCACTCAAAAGTAACAATCCCAAAACACAATGGCATGTATTCCAAAACCAAAAAGGGACGTTCGAAAATGGGTGCAGTTTAATCCTCATAGAAGCTGTGATTTCGCCTGAATTATTCACCAGCCAACAACTTCAGGAAACAAACAACATAAATCACTAAATATACCCGCACAAAAATTACTCCCTAAACGGATGATTATGGATAATCATAACAACATTTGTACGAGCGCAGGCACCATTTTTCAACGAACCAACATCAATCTTGACCTGCGTTCCAGGTCGGAAGTGAAAAATTAGAGTGGGAGACATCCTCTTCAGGAAACCTTTCCGAAAACCATCTTCCGGTCTTGGCCTAGTCGCGGGATCAAAAATTTACGTTAACTTATCACCCAGCTGATCTGTTTGTACCTCTCCACCCGAGATGGCGCGGTAAGTATCGTATCGAATATTAATACATTTAAATATTAATATAATTGTAATATGGATATTTAACTAGTTTTTTTTTTTTCTAGGTTTCTTATTATAACGTGTGAGGATGAAGTCGATAATTGCTAATCTGAAGGTATTATGAGATAACAAAATTGTATTCAATTGTAATAATAAGATTGATATTTTAGCAATNCTAGCGGCTACGTCAAATCGTTTCTCCGCGTTTTGTCTTATTGTCTGTGTAGCGTTTGTGTATTGTAAGTCTCGTAATATGTCAGTGTTTCTTACGTACCAGGGCGCGTCGGTGGCCGTGCGGAGGGCTATGTTTTCCACAGCCTGTAATGACTTTAAGTGGCTTTTTGCCGCGTGACCCCACGCCGTGGAGGCGTAGGTTAGCTGCGGTTGAAGTACCACCTTGATAAGTGTTCGCTTATTCCTTAAACTGAGGGTGTTTCCACCTTTGAGTAAGGGAAACCCCGGGACAGGTGCCTGCAACAAAGATGCCGACGGCCTCTATGCTTAAGCCGGGGATTAGGTCGGTGATGAAAAGGAAAGAAAGGGATTCTTTCCAGATAGCCTTAATAAAGGCAGGTAGATTTTGCTCGTTGCAATCACTTCACCTCACAAACAAACACGTCTGCTCAGCTCGGTTGTTCGCTCTGAACTGGAATAATGGCGAATACAGTTTTCGGAATCCCTTTTTGTAATTTAAATGTCATCCTATGTTATGTCTTAAGTCTATGGTCATGTCTATTATATATTTTGTGGCTCTATGGTTAGTGTCAAAAATGTCAAATAACGTTTCGTTAACGTTGTGTTTTGTATTCGTTAATAATAGAGTTCTATAAATTGTCTGTTAAAATTAATAGAAGTTGTAAATGGTCGGTTAATTTGTTTGATATTAATTCATATAACTTAATAAGTTATGGGTTCCAGTAGTAAGAAATACAAGGAAAAAGAATCTCGTAAGCGTCGCCACAGAAGTCCTAGTAGAAGTTACGATGACGATTATGATGTACAACGAGAAAAAAGACATAAACATAAAAAACATCACCATCATCATAAAGAAAAACGAAAGGAAAGGCTGGAAAGGGTTCCCAGGCAGGAATATGAAAGTGACAGTAAGTTGAATATCACTTATGTTTGTATCAGTACCTATACTGGATACTGTGGCAGCTTATTTGTAAGAAAAAGTAAATAGTAAATCTTTAGTAGGACACTTTATATTTAGCTAATTCTAAAAAGTTGTTTTGTGCCCCATTTCTGGTGCTTGAGGTTGCTAGAACGTCGTTTTCTGAAAATGAGACTGAATATTTATTTATTCCAAAAATAGATTGAAAAAAGGTTTCTGATTTTCAACAGTATCGCAGCTTCTCATTTCATTAGTGAGGGAACAAATACATCCACTTATCTTTTTCTAACTGGTGATGAAAACCTAAACTGTTTTTAATTAAACCGATGAATTTATTGGTGAGGCATCGGTCTATCAAAGTTTTATTTAGATTTTTTGGTAGAATTCATGGGAAATAACTGTTGCTTAAATTGACACTCTCATTATGACGCATATGATTTATTATTTATTCTGTTAGCAGTCTTAAGATTGTTTTAAACAATTTTGCTATAGTTTAAAGTAAAAAGTGTTGTGTTATATTGTAAGGGTACAATAATTTTACTGTAAATGTATTTTTAAGTAAAAATACTTCTGCCCTTTATGTTAACGCTGTCAAGTGGCGCATGCTGAGTAGAGATGGGCGAAACATGACTGATTCGGCTCACTGAGCCGGGTCTTTGTACTGAGCCGAGTGAACCGGTTCCTTTTCAAAGATCAGTCCCAGCTCTCGGATCTTTGCTTCCAATGTCGGAAGTGGTGAACCGAAATCAAGAGTAGTGCACCCGCACTGGCACAATTCATACAGTGCAGGTATCGGGTGTATTATTTTTATTATTCGCTACTTTTTCAAATGATAAATAAGTAGTGAAAACAAATTTTCATTCAAATAAATACAAAAAAATAAATTCACCAAAAAATAATTATTTAATAAAAATTAATTCCAAAATTTTATATTTTTTTTCCTTATGTGCTTTCTAAATTGCTAGTTAATAATCAACAAAATATTGATTCTAATATATTTGTATAAAAATAATACATAATTCTATTAAACAATCTATTTTATGTATTTGTTTAATAATGTTTTTAAGTGAGCTATGCAATACATTCACTCGGCTACATGGGTCGTAGTGTACTAGAAAGAAAAGAAGGGAAGGGATAGTCATGACAGATTCGGCTCAATTGATCCGGCTCATTGAACCGGCTCCGTATGTGGAACGGGATTAACAAAATGAACCGGATTTCTCATCTCTAATGCTGAGTGATAATCCCAACTTCAACAATCAATGCTGTTTTATCTGTTTTTGTCTCCATTTCATTGAATTTTGACAGTAAAAACCAGTCCTAATGTCATTAATACATCTGGGTACAATGTTGGCTCTCGGCTAATATCAAATTATGCTTAAATTTGTGGTAAAAGATACTTTATAAAAATGACAAAGCAGAACATTCTGCGGTGAGTAGGGATAATTTGCATCTATTGGGTCAGTGGATGTTTCATTGGAAATCACAACTCTTCTAGAGAGACGCAGTCATTTATCTGCTCTAGGAGTGCTGTGGAACACTCCTCGGGTTGCTCTGAAAATTGCCTAGGATACGCAGCTTCCCAAATAAAATTAAAATTACTTCTCTATGTTTTTTTAATTTCAAACAAAAAATTCCTGCACTGGATTGTTTTTTTTAATATAATGGAATATACTCTTTTCTTAGAAATAGCATTAGAAATTTTCAAAATACTCGGTGGCATCGAATTCTAGGGTTACTAGTATGTCCACTACTGGTTGACAGATTTGTTTACCAATTCAGAAAGCAGTGGCTTTAAACCTTTAATTCATTAAGGTTTTCTTATCTAAACTAACTTGAGAAACAACTTGCTGAAGTTATGTTATAACCGACTTAGAAAAAACACTGTACAGGCAATCATACTAACTTGCCTAAAACATCAGCTTGATGATTACTTTTCTTTTACAGGTTCTGATGTTGTGGAGATTATTCCTGACGATTCACAATCAGCTCCTCCAACAAAAGCTAATGATAAATCACCGGAAAATTCAAGTCAAGGAGTTGAAAGTTTATCCATTGACGAAACCAATAAGTTGAGGGCTAAATTAGGTTTAAAACCCCTAGATATTGGCTCAAGCAGTGGAAGTAATGCAGGAGCAAAAGGCGATGGTAAAAAGAAGGATGATTTGGGGGAATTTTATCATAAACCAGCAGAAAATTTACAACAAAAAGCTCAACAAGAGAAGATGCGGAATAAATTAGCAGAAGCTAGAGAAAAAAGACACCTCCATAACAAGTATGCCAAAGTCAAGACCCTTGGTGAAAGTGATAGTGATGATGATGTTGAGTCATGGATTAACAAAAATAGGAAAATTGATGAGGCTAAAAAGGAAGCAGAAAAAAGAGTAACTATTTTTCAAATATGTACCTGTGATATTCCTCATCAAATAAATATTTTTTAGGCCAAAATGCTGGAAGAATTGGATGCACAATTTGGTGTAAGTGAAGTTGTGGAATCCGAAAAAAGAGAAAAAATGCGACAGAAGTACTCGGAACGAGATTTAAAAGGTTTAACTGTGGAACATGACCTGGATAGTTTTATGGAAGAACGTACCACTATACTAACTCTCAAAGATAAAGGAGTATTAGATGAAGATGAAGATGTTTTAGTAAATGTCAATATGTTAGATAACGAGCGGTATAGAAAGGTTAGTAACAAATTTATTTATTTACAAATTTTTAGTAAGTATCACAAATACTTATATAACTATTTTTTAGAGCGTCGAAAATAAGAAAAAGAAGATATTATATAATGCTTATGAAGATGACGAATTTGATGAATTTGGGAATCCTAAGGAAAAGTCATTATTATCAAAATATGATGAAGAAATAAATGGTGCCAAGAAGGATAGTTTTAAGATCGGTTATGATAATGCCATTGAAAGAAAACAAGCCATAACTCAATCGGTGAAAGAGAAGTTGGCAAAAAAAAAGCTTGAAAGCATAGGAGAGACGCAGCTAAAGCTGGCTTCAGAGTACTACAATGAAGAAGAATTAGCCAAATTTAAGAAGCCTAAAAAGAAAGTAAGGAAAATAAGATCGAAAGGAAAACTGCTCACTGCCGATGAATTACAAGAACAGCCACAAAATACTGGAATTGAAGCAATAGGTTCCAGAAGACCAAAATATAAAAATGATCCCGATTTAAATATAGATGACGTTCCATGTAAGTTGTTCTATATTATCCAAAAAAATAATTGAAATGAAATAATGATAATAAGCCTTATGTATATTTTTATTTTTTAGCTGTGGACATTCCATCTGATTTAAAAATAGAAGAAAAAGATGATTTGCTTGAAAAAGCATTACACAAAGCTAGGAGGATTAAGCAGAAAGAAAATATTGTGGCGGATATCATAAAAAGTGAAATCAAAACTGAAGTGGAGGAGGAAAATATTGATAGTGGAAACATCATACTAAATGCTACAGCAGAATTCTGTAGAACATTAGGTATGTTTTTTTTTTAAGGAAACAGCTATTAACCAATAAGTTAGTGATGATTAGAACTTGACATTTGGGTGTGAAGTCACTGGCATCCAGTGGCGGCTCGCAAGCGATGCACCGCTTCACCTAAAATTTCCGTTTGGTTGTGCAATTTAAAATTATTTTTAATTTTATGTAAATTTTATAATTGAATATTGAATATATATTGAAATATATATTGAAAATGTATTCTGTTTGTTTAGTATGCAGAAATAAACAGAATAGTTGCGCGGTGAACGCCTTCTAAAAAACGTTGTCTGGATTTAGCGCGAACATTATCCTCGTACCATACAACGTTTAGTATACACAAGTGACAAAACAGTCTGAATTCCGCTTCTCTTCGAAGCGTTGTTTACGGCAGTTGCCATGGCAACGAGGCCAACATGGGAGAAAATTACGGTGTGGTGGAACGAATAACGCGGATATTGAAGCAGCATTGTCATCGCCCATCGCCTGCCTTTAAACAGTTTATACGATACCCGTCGCCCAGTGCACGATTATAACTGTTTTTAGTTTGTTCTTAGTTCTTAGTTTTAATTTGTTTTGTATAATAATTGTAGAAATGTTTCCTATGTATGATCCAGTATGTATCTGATTGGAAATGCCATTTTCCAGGTGGAAAATTGTAAACAAAAAGGATTTTTTAAATTGCAACAGACCTGTGCCTTATTCTTGCGATATGGAATAAAGGGGGAATTCAAAAGACAACGTGTATGTTCGAAAGTTTCGGAATGATTGGTATTCAGAGTATAAGTGGTTGTGTGGAACTGTTCAATTAGAAAACTGTTCTGTATGCCGTTTTTAATTGTGGGTGTAGTCGGGCGTGTGGAATAAGGCAGGATTTAACAATTTTGGGAAAGTCACACGAGGCTGTCGTATCCACAAAGCTTCATTGGAACGTACATGTATGGTTTGCGTTAATGTTCGCAGAAAACCAAAAGCCGAACTAATATTTCTATTTTTTATAAAATTTAGATGAAAATCCTTCTCGCGAACGTCAGTTTCTCGGAAGTATTGCAAATGCAACTAAAAATTTCTAGATTCATTTAAAGCCGTTTGACCTTGAAAATTTTCGCCTGCTGCACTTTTTTTTTCTATTTAGTCAATCATTGCTTCACCTATATCTCAATGTCACGAGCTGCCACTGGTGACATCACTAATAGCTGTTTTACATTGACAATTTATTGATCAATTAATTTATGAAGTTGCTTCATCAAGAAATTGGACAAGTGTAATGCACATACTTCTATCCTATACTGATTATTACCTATAGTTTCAATGGATGACCTTGTTTCCNCTAGTTTTGCATTGTTTTTACTGATTTGTTACTTACAAAAACTAATATTTATATAATATGTGTCAGAACGGTACCGCTGTTGTATCACTACAATTATGAGTGGAAAGGTGATATTTTTGAAATTTATTTGCTTCTTTGATTCATTGGTAGAACTGAAACTTGACAAAGTCTGTAGCAGTGTAAAACCACACTGCTTACCAATAAATTGGTGAATTAATTCATGAAGAACTTCGTCAATTTATTCATCAATAAAAATTGTCAATGTAAAACAGCTATAAGAAATTTCAAAATAATTTGACTTAAATACATAAAAATAAACTTGCCAGTGTCTAATTTAGCTGCAAATAAAAGGTGAACCTTAGCATATTTGAATTGTCAGAGAAAAATGCAACATATTTTGAAATAACGTACATCTAGAGATGTAAGATGTAATATTTCTATTTAATAACACAACTTTATAACAATAACAAAACATAATAGGCACTAATGCAAACCATTGGAAATATTACACATGATAACTACAAAATATTATGTAGTTGTGTGAGGCCTGGATTTTTTTGTAGTAATTTGTTAAATTTCATTGGACTTCAGGACCGAGGATATTTATTAAATTTTGTAACAGCATTACATTGTCAGCTGTTTGAAAAGACGTTAGTTAACCTCTGATAGCATAGGTTTTATTGGGATCGAATTTGAAAATTACAGATTTCACAACACGAATTTATTTGTAATAAAGTGTGTCCCAAAATTTATGCAAGTAATTCTGATAGAAAACACAGGTTTTTAAATTGTAAATTTTTTATTGGTTCTAGAGTATACAATATAGGGTTACGTATGGAATAGCATATCAGGTAAATGATCTCTATGGCTTCGCCGGTACATACTCATCTATTGTAATCTGACATTTTATATGAATAGATTTTTCTACAAATTCGTATTCAATGTGACCATCGCCATACTTTTGAGTTTACAAAAACAAAATTTGTTTTAGGTGACATTCCAACTTACGGCAAGGCTGGTAATCGCGAAGAGACTGAAGAGCTCATAGACTTCGAAAAAGATATAGTGAATGAAGAAAATAGTGATGACGATTGTGAAATAATAGAACCAACTGGTTGGAATTCTGTAGACCCTACAAATCAAGGCATAGATTCCACCCAGATAACGCCCCAAGAAGTCCAAATTTTGGATGAAGAACCAGATGTCAGTACGGGTGTCGGAGCAGCTCTCAAACTAGCTATGAGCAAAGGTTATTTAGATAAAGAACAAAATAATCGTCCTTCTAATTCTCGTCTTGCACACTTGCAAGCCAAACATTATTCTATAGAAGACAAGTCATATGGTGACGAGGGCGATAGACAGAATAGAAGGGAACGATATTCAGGTCCTATAACAGATTTTAAGGAAAAAGATGGTTTTAAACCTAACGTAAAACTTGAATATATCGATGATGAGGGTCACATTTTAAACTCGAAAGAAGCTTTCAGATATTTGTCACATAAGTTCCATGGCAAGGGACCTGGCAAAAATAAGATAGAAAAAAGGATCAAGAAGGGTGTTCAGGAACAGGTAATTCATTTGGACATTTTCAATTATAGCTTAATAATCTTAAATCATATTTTAATTACTTTAATCTTTTTTTTTTTTTCATTACTGTATAATTATTTTGTGTATTGGCAAACTCGGAACCCTTTTTACAACGAATTGCGATGGTTAACATGATAATAAAATTTTCTTTAATCCAGCTCCCTGTTTGATTGGAAATCAGTTACTTTTTTATTTTTTAATGAACATTCAATTTTTTTTTTCTTTTCATGAGATATACGCTGCTCATGACACTTCTCTTTGATTCAGTATGACTTCTAGCACAGCTGTCGCTGTCGATGACATCGACTTCATTATACCCAAACAGGCCAGTCTGAATTTTATAGTTTTTTCCTCTGTGGTCTGTTGTGTTTTTGCCATCATACCACTACGCCATAAAATATCCTAGATATTACTATCGATGTATACATTGTGTGTATGTACACCAGGTTCTTCGCTTTACTAACCACTTTTTCCAAGTATGCATTTCAGCTAAGCTTATCCAGTATCATTCCTCCCTGGAAAGTTGCTCCCCTAATGTAGGTTAAGAGTCGTCAAATTTTTTCAGGTGGAAGGTACTATGAGTCTTGTCCTTGTTTACTGACAGTGCTTGCCTCTTACACTAATTATTCAGACACTTCAGAGCCTCCTTCATGAGCTTTGTATAAAATCCTTTTCGATGGAGACCCTCCGGTGCCACGTCCGCTACTAATCCCCATGGTAAGGAAGACACTACGCCTTCCTGAGGGCAATTCTGGCTTACTTTACACTGGGATGTTTCTCCCGAAAAAGTAGCTGTTACCGTTCAGTACTAGCGGAATATAACCTAATGTAATGCTCGCTCTGAAGATGTGATTTAGAACTGGAGCTAAACAAACAGTTTACTTTCTGTTGCAATAGTACGTGTAGAATTCCATCAGCTTCTGGTGATTTAAATGGGCCAAAAGAATTGAATGCCTATCTTATACTCAACTGGCTCACCACCTTCGTGGAAATCTCCCAGTTCTGACAAGACTCGGTCGTTACCCTTTGCTGGTGATCTATACCCCTTAGGCCCGGTACTTTTGAGTCTCGGTTAAGACTTGATTAATCAATCAGGCAATTAGACTGTGAATATACTACTATAAAATAAATCGGTATATGTAGTCTAATCATGTGATTACTTAACCGAGACTCAAAGTACTGGACCTTAGGGTAATATCATTTGTATGTGGAACTGAAGCCATTTGTGTGCACTACACATTTTTGACATATTTGTATTCAGTGTGCATTGAGAATATGTTGCATTTTATTATTAGAATTGATTTGACTCGTGTACCTAGCGCAAATGGTGATAGATGTCCCTCTTGATTTTCAAAATGTTTGAATGGAACACCCTGTATATTTCCAAAATGCAAACATTTCTATTAATTTGTGACGGGATTTATATATCATAAAAATTTAGCTGGACATTTTAATTGCATTCCGAGTAAATTCAATAAATTGTTCTTTTTAGCTTATGAAAAAGATGAGTTCTACAGACACACCATTAGGGACTCTGAACATGCTTCAAGCCAAGCAAAAAGAAACCCAATCTCCATTTGTTGTACTTTCTGGAAGTAAACAGTCACAGTCAACAGCTTTATCAAAAAGTAGGCGATGAATTGGAAACCATTCGTATAATAGTTCGTAAGGAATTGCATTGTAGGTAGGTTCAGGAAGATCAACTTTTTTGTAATTAAAAAAAGAAGTAATTTTAAAGATTTTATTTAATAATTGTACGATTTTCGTACCAACATCAAATTAATGTTATATGTACAGCCATGTTATATAATAAAATAGTTTTATGCTAACCTCGTTGCCGTTTCATTGACAATTTAGAAACACTTGCAAAATTATTTATTTCATTATCTAAACTTTTTTAATACTGATGATAAAAATTTATTTTTTAATTTTAACGAACTTTTATATGAAATTTTGTACAAATGTGATAATAAAATAAATAATTTACAACGTGGACAATTTTTACAGATTTAATTGCAATTAGAAAATTAATTGCAATGTGGATCTCGACTAAAATAAATAATGAAAAAATAGTAACGTAACTTTCACTGGTTTGTAGTACGAAATTTATAAATTCATATAATATATAAATATAGTACTTATGTACACAATAAGATTATATACACAGCGACCTTTACATACTTTGCAAGTAATGTGATGTACCAGTTGTTCACTTTAAAATGAAACAGAACAAAGTCGCCAAACATAGAGCAATAACAATGAAAACACAATTACAAAAATCCTGGGCCGAATGTACTTATTACAATTGGTTACAATAACTTCATCTGTTAACCTAATTACCCAAAGGTCTTACTTATTCTATAAAAAAAAATAATAAAAAAAACTCTACTCTTAAAACACGAGATCACCTCTTAAATAATTTTGTACTTTTACAAAATTCGTGCAACATCGACCTACCTTCCTCGGGGATCGAGTATTTATATATAACCAAATTAAATATTATGTACAATGAGATTTTTATGAACAATGGCGTAAATCAATGTTGCACAGACAAATTATCAAAAAATTATTGATTCTCTAATTTCGGCTTATTAATAGAAGTATATATCTATTTACAAAGTGTACATACTTTTCTCGATATCTACAAAATGTCAATAGTAAAAAATTAACAGCTCAATAAAAAAAAATTAACTCAACAATAATTTTATAAACCACTCAGAAATAAAATAACTTAAATTATTTGTCGGCTTGTAGACATCAATAGAAATATACATTAAAAATAAATCTCCAAAAAATAAAACAACTATGTACACTGTGCTAACTATAATTAATACTTTCTTCAATTAAATAACTTATAGAATTCTGGGAGAATTGCACATTCCTAAATATTAGTTAAAGCTCCTTGCATATTCATGACTGACTGTCAAAATTTACCGATTCTAAATCGGGAGGAGGGGAAGGATTCCGGCCTTCGTACCGTGCATCGTCATCTATAAATAAAAACCAGATTCACTCAGTGGGTGTCACTGAAATCTTAATTGAATTATTTAAATGTTCTGTAAGGTGTTTCTGGATTAATTGGTCAAACTCAAACTTGAATTTGGGTGGTCAAAATAGGTCCTATGAAGGAATGCCTGGAATCTAAGATATATCTGAAGATGACAGTGATAAAATTTTATTTTTTTAGAAATTCGATGAGGGTATGTAATTGCTGTTATTTCCAATAAAAAAAAACATTTTAATTTGAAAAATGGGCCATTTCTCAATTATTACTTTTTTTAACTTATATATTTACCACTACCAAGTACTAATCATTCTAGAACTACATGTAATCCAAAAAAAATAATCAAATTGTTTAAATACCACAGTATTCATTAGAATTCTGAAAATAATATGGAGTAGAAATTTAGCATTTTATTAAAGGTCAGGTCAAAAATTTTTGTAACAATTATTATTTCTGTTTATTGCCAAAATTAAGTAATTAATCATTTACTTTATCAGTAGTGCATTATATTTTTTGGGTCTAATTTTTTAGAAATCAATTAAGCAGATTGTTAATTTTAGTTAGGAACATTGCTAGATCAAAATTCATTACTCTATGTGAAACAATTTCAAAGGTATTTAAAAAAATGCGAAATTTCATATTTCTGTATTTTGAAAACAAACAAATTTTTGACATTCTTTCATAAGACATTCCTCTTATTTTTCACCTCTCGATTTAGTATTTTAAATTTGGCCAACTAATCCTGAAACACTGTATAAGTAAATTTAAAACAAGCAAAACTTGAAAAATATATGTTATCTTACATCAGGTCTCAAAATTACCAAATTAATAAATTGATATTATTTAAGTTACAAAACAATTAAGTTTATTAAAAATTTGGATGATGTTAAAATTTTAATTAATGAAAGGGTCAACTCCGCACACATCTGTAAAAAAAATTGTTACTTTATACATACAGATAATTTGCAATTCTGTATTATATGTAATTTATAAAAAACCTTATGAAACCATAAGTGTGTCAAAGCACAAAGATGTTAAAAACAAGTTAGAAAAGGGTCACTGAAAGCCTGTGCAAAGTGCCATCAAGCCTGTCCTACTCTTCAAAACATCAGATCCAGATTCCAAACTCTGAGATTGGGCTAGAGTTAGCCACAATAGTCTAACTGGTGCGGTTGGACGTTTACGCAGTAACCTAATACCTCAAATCTAAATTGCCTTCACAGTCCATAACCAACAATTAAACTGCATTTGTGATTTTAACCCTTTCGCTGCGCAATACGTCTGAACGTAGCTACCGCGACGTGCGAGAAAGTTTATTGCGTGCGAATATATACGTCTGGAGCAGTTAGACCACTTATAGTTTTACATTATGTTGTGTTAAATTACGATTTACGATAAATTTTACGATTTTATTTTGAATAAAATACAGTATATGTACTAAATAAAAACTGAAAGAAACATGAACAATCTTGGTATTATTACCAGTACCTCTTTCCATAAAAATATTTGTCACAATCGGTATAAGCTCGCCCGCAAAAATTCGCCTTACCAATTGCAATAACCGAGTCACTAATGCGCATGGTTGCGAATATATACGGTTTGAGCAGCCTGATCCAATTTAACTATTCATGCGAATTAATCCGTCTGGAGCAGTTTGAGCCCTATAAATTTTTAGCGAATATATACGTCTGGAGCAGTGAAAGGGTTAAAAAATAAATCAAATTTCTACTTCAAACCTAACCATGCATGCCTCAAGGTCAGTCTCTGTCCAACTTGAGTATGGCGTGTTGCGAAGATCGCATGGAGTTGTAGACGAAGTACGGACTATAATATGAAATTGTATGCTTAAATCAGGCTCAAGTATATGTTCGTCCAAAGAATCAACTATAAGTACTGGCGTAAGACCCGCATCAGATGAGACGTACAAAACGCCGAATGTCTTGTGTTTGAAACTAAATTGACAGAGTGAAATGTAACATTTCAAACGGGACTGTTAGATTGCGTATGAGAGCAAGCATGAATTTTACGGTGCGAGTACATAATTATAAAACACTTGGTTTAGGAAATAGGGCCCAGTCTACATCTCACCTGAAATACGACTTTTCATCTATCTTTAATTGATCTATCCCATCTAACTTTAAATAAAAAAAAAAAAAAATTGTAAATTGACAATCATTTTTAAGGCTAAGGTCTCCTAATTCAGTGAAGGGAAGTTGCAGTAGTTCTTTTGTATCTGTGTTACTAGAACCATCAGGGAGACATTTCCAGAATTGCATATTTTATGATTCTGTAAATATGTTAGTTACGAGTTAATCGTAGCTTATAAAATTATAAATTTACAGAGTAATGCAAAGTTAACCCATAAATACTATATTAAAACAAACTTACCAATAGTAGACGTGTAGTTTGTGAAACTACTGTTTGGATACACTGGGTTGTTAAATGGAGGTACATAGTTAACGCTGTTTGACTCCTCAAAGACCCTCTCAGCTTGCATAGCCTCTTCCTCATCTGGAGTATAAAACAAGTTCGGTTCGACATTCTCGTCTGTGGTTCCCTTTTCAGGAACGTTTTCAGCTGCTGGCTCCTCTTCCATTTCTATGTCGACTGGCGGAGACGGGCTTTTTTCAGGTGGCAAGACTGCCGGACTAACCGATCTTTCTGGAGAAAGAGGAGGTTTTGGAGTTGGAGTTGTTTCTCTTGTCACCTCACTACTCCCCGGTATGGGGAATGTCGGGCTCGGAATTGGAATCGGTTTTACCTTAGGTTCAAGTTCTAGATTTAGTATGGCTTCTACATTTAGAGCTGCAAATTTGGGAAAATCATTATACCTCTAAATAAGAGATTTCAGTATAAGTTCAAATCTCTAATTTTAATTCATAATTCCAATGATTTATACCAAAATTAGCGACTGATTTCCACAAAACAAATTGCTCTTAGAGTATAAATAGAGGTATTAATTCTCTTTTTAACTTTCACCAAAATTAAATTTATTATTAAAATTGATAATTCTTGTTAGTCATCAAGCATACTTTTAGAAGAATTAGTACCAAGAAATACCATATTATTTTAACAAGTTTGTTTTGTTTCTATATAGAGTGATTTAGATAAAACTCTCCAGTTCGATAACTTGATAATGGAGATAATTTTTATTTTGTAAAAATCAGTTGTTAGAGGTCCTATAATTTTTCTTACACAGAAGTTTTGAAAAGTGATTTTCTAACATCGTCCTTAAATTTTAAACATATTGTTCTACAAAAAATTTGAGAATGTCAAAGTTTCTAAGATAGAAGCATAGTCAATTTAAAGATTCTCAAAACTGACAATAATTTTCAAGGATCAAAAACTAATAGGATTGCTTTCATAAGTAAAATTCTATACAAATTGTTATACATATCAACATAAAATACTTTAAAAAATCCATAAAGAGCGACTCCAAAAACAGGCCGAAAATCGTCTATTTTATAAACTTGTAATTCGTTAAAAATTTTGTGTTAGGTTATTGTATATCATTAGAACCTGTTACTCAGAAAGTTCAAAGATGAGTTCAGCTTTGGTTTTGGAGATATGCGTGATACATGTCATAACACTCGTGGTCTTACATATCGAGCATATCACCTTAAACCTTTAACTAAGATTCACTATTTTTTAGATGGCCTACCATTAAGGTCAAGGTGGTTACTTAGGGTTTTGGGGTTGCTGATTATGAATCTGAAGTCAGAATTTCAAAATTAAAGATGGCGGACAAAATTTTTGAAATTGAACCAAATTCAAATCATATTCAATAAAAAATTCAATAATTTTTATGGGAAAAACGAGCATATGTTATCTTAAAATATTTACAAAAAGCAAGTAATCCTACTATCGTTCTTAGTGTAAACCAGAATCGACGAAGTGAACGTAGCGATAAACCGATTCCTTCGAGGTGCTTGATTTTCGTGAGTCCCTTTGCCACTCACGTTGGGGTGCTTGATTTTCATTAGTCTCCTTGCCACTCACGTTCTGGTTTACCGCCATCTTGAATTTTGAAATTCTAACTTCAGATTCATAATCAGCAACCCCAAAACCCTAAGTAACCACCTTGACCTTGATGACAGGCCATCTAAAAAACAGTGAATCTTAAAGGTTTAAAGTGATATGAGATCATGAGTATTATGACATGTATCACTCATATCTCCAAAACCAAAGCTGAACTCGTCTTGCAACTTTCTCAGTAACACGTTCTAATGATATACAGTTCTAATGATTTATAATTTGCCAAAATGGGTGATTTTTGGAGCCTCCTTATTATTTTTTTTTTTGTACGCCAATGCAGGAATGATGACAATGTATTCACAGAAAATATGAATTTTTTATTACAATGGGGTATTTGAAATCTTTTGGGATATTGCCATAAAATATGGAATAATTTTTTAATTTTTATATGAAATGATTAACTATCAATTTAAAAAATATATAAAAGTGAATGAAAATTGCTTCGTTACAAATATATTTTTTATGCAATCACATCACGTTTCCCAGAACATAATCTGATTATTTTTTAATCAAATAAATCTACTAGCCAAGAGTTTTAGAAAATGTCTAGTGTTTGCAGAAAATTAATGCCTGCATGATTTCATGATTCATGCATTTGCGTGATTCACGAAATATTAACTACGGTATATGGATATGTGTGTCTTAAAGTCATTAATTATGCTGATTTATAAAATGTTCATTATAAAAAATAAATTAAAAAACATATATTATTAATTTGATATTGAATTAATATCAAATTATATTATTGAATAGTTTTGTAGCTGCACGTTTGATAAATGTCTATACGATTGGAATATTCAAGCCGACTTTACACCTACATGTCAACATGGTGGTAAACAGATAAAAAACAAATGGCCGAATATGTCACTGCTGCATTTTATTACAATTATTTTATTTTTCAGTTTATTGGTCGACGGACAAAAAAGATGTTTATAATGCTGTAATTTTACGACTTTCTGTGTGGTGTTTTCACTGAAATCAAAATAAAATGTGTATGTATATTGCATGTTATGTTTCGTTTGATTACTTGGCGTCTTAATCCACATCATTGAAGAAAATCTATTTACAGGATTTTAAAGGATCAAAAATGACTTTTCATTATCAAATTATTGCGCTGCGCTTATGTGAGTTTTATGTGAATCACCCTGTAGATTTTTAGTTTTTAGTTCATCAAACGATAACCTACCTGGTCTCGGTTCTTCATCAACCGACAATCCAAAAGCTTTTTTGAGCCTCAAACTTGAAATTTCTCTTTGACGTTCTAACTCTGTAGGTTCAGAATTAAATGCTGGAACTGCAACATAAAAACAGAAGTAAAAAAAAAACTGAATAATGTATTTATACCTTTTATTGGTAGTTCAGGGGAAATTTCATCATCGCTGGATGTTAAAGATGTGCTACTGCTTGTGCTGCCTGACCTGAGCCTTGATGTGATTTTAAACGATTCAGAAGAGTTATTTTCTTCAGTACTCATCTGTTCCGGTTCTTGTTCGTGGTCATCACTTTTATCATTAACATTCAATTTTTTTCTTTGTCTATACTCAGTTATTGAAAGCTGGAAAAGAATGGGAATTTAAAAAAAAGATTGATTTCACCTGAAAGGTATTTACCTTTACCTTTCTCTTAGGTAAAGTTGTATCTGGCTTATTTTCTTCAAACCCCAGAATACTTAGTGTCTTCTCAACTGTGCCCACTAAGTCATTGTTGGAGAACATGTGACTCTCCCGGGACAGCCGTGGATCCATAAGGCAACCCAGAGGACCCATTTCGTTATGGGGACCTTCTGGTGTCGATGGCACGATACATTTACTAAATTCTTGTTTCATTTTAGCAGCACGTTCTTTTAGTATGGCATCTGACTCTAGAGTCTGCGTTGGACTGTCACCATCGGTTCCACTATACACAATTTCGACACACCCTTCTTGGTTTGGTCTCTCTTTTTCCAGTTTCTAAACAAAAAATAACATTCATCCTGTTTAATTTTACCAACAGCGACATTCCTTTCCCATATATAATTCAAAGGTATCATTATATAAAGTATTTCTGAGAGAATTAGTCTCAAAATTTAATTACGGGAGAAGAAATATTAGTGAAGAAATTATTGAAACAAGTATCATTATAAAAAGTTATTGCTATACAGGATGTAACTTTGAGTGGGGTCATATTTATATAGAGGCTTCCTTTGACCTTTAGAAACTCGTATCAATAGTTTATTTTTTCAAATTGTGTCGTAAAAACTTTTTAGTAATTTTGTAACCCCGCCGCTGGAGAAGCTAGTATAACCAGAGAACACTATACCAACAAGAAGCGACAGAATCGGCGGCTCCTTTGATGTTTTGTGGTCACGCTACAGTCGACTGATTTGAAGGAAACACAATCGTTTACACTGAGAGAGTTATACTTTTGAATAGATGCACACTGAATGAATATAATAATAATAATAATAATAATTACCTTTCGTATTCCTTAGGGAAACTTAAAAAGGCTTAATCCTTCACCAGTTTTGGATGAACAACCGTGAAAAGCATTTGGCAGCTCTGACAGTCACTCACAACTGACAGCAACACAACCCAGTTCGCGCATGCCCGTACGAAATCAGTTAACAGAGAAAGTCTTGCCGTCGCTTCTCCTTGGTATAGTGTTCTCTGGTATAACCTCAAATAACGGTGAGTTTTAGTCGCAGCGCATACACAATTTCACACCATTCGCCACGAGTTATTTTTGTTGAGTGTGTGTTCGTCACACAAACAGTACTTAACAAGTAACCTAGCAAAAAAACTCAAGCAGTATTCAATACACAAAAATAAATAGTCTGTTGATGGCTTCAAGCAATGAAAAACATTCAAATTCGCAGTTAGATGTACTGTCTCCAATTGCAGAACAACTGACGCCCTTTCCCCTCGCTTCGTCACCGTTGACCTGTACTATCTCCCTTCACATGCACTGTAGATTGCCTACAATTCATGTATTTGTAATACATAAATAGTATATACAGTAGCGGCGCACACAAGTATTAAAGTGCACTTTAAAAAACTAATTTGATTAAAAAAAAAAAAGAATTTCAAATTCGTATTCAGGGGAACACGTACTATGACTCCTAAAAAACTGACCACCACTTAAAGTTAAACTCCATATATGTGATTGCAATGCATTTTTTAAAAAAGAAATCTTTCAAATACTGTTGTGCCCATCTGTAGAAATAATATATTTTTATTAACGAAACATGCTTGATATTTGTTATTAAATTTTTATCTTCATATCAAATAAAATAACAAAAAAATATTTGCAATTATTTTGAAAGAAAGTCAAAAGTTAAAAAATTAGAAGCTTTTTCCAAAAATAAGAAGGTGCATAATTTTTTTGTACAAAATAAAACTTGTTTTTCAAAAATGAATTTCTTTTTCTAGTGATGTGTCACAACTTTCAGAGGAATGTAACTGGCATATGTCATATCTGTCTTTGGTTTGAGGCGAGACTTCATTTTTTCATGTTGAATGCCATTTTATTCATATATTGTGGGCACAAGATTTCATTTCTTTCTATTTAGAAGATATATACAGATTTTTTTTTTAAACTTTATACACCCTTTATCTCAAAAATGAGAGTTCCGAGGGTGTAACTTTAAGTGGCAGCTCAGTTTTTTAGAGGAAACGTATTCCCTAGAATACTATAATTATTTTAAATCGAATAGTCGAGTAATTTCTCAGTATTTAGTGACGGTATGATGTGTTTGTGTGTCTTGATGGTTAAATTTATGTGTATGAAAAAATGTGGACATGAATCAAGAAACATATTGGACAACTATGCACAGTTGTTTGAGCCTGTCCAATAGGATATGAAAATTACGAAAAAAAAAAAAAAATTAAAAAAATGAGATTTCACGACAGAATTTGAGAGAACAAACCGACGTCAAGTATATAGAAATATTTTAAATTTTTGATGAGAAAAATACTACTTTTAGGACAACTTACACATTGTGACATTTTCGATATTACTTTTATTGTGCATTAACGTATATTTATATAGAATTTTGCTAACCATTGAATAACCAGAAAAAATCTAATTTAGCGATGCCACAGAAAATATTTGATAAATCCCGATAAATGTGAATTGATTAAGGTAAATAATTTGATTATAAAAAATAAATTTTGAAAATTTTTACTCTTTTATTGCAATAATTGATTTACCAACAATTGATCACAAAACAGCTATATCAGATTCAAAATCAAGTGATTTTAAGAAATAATCCTTTCCCCAAAATTAGTAAAATAATTCTCGAGTTTACATATTTCAAAAGTGAATTATTTACAAAAATAAATCGCTAAATTAAAACAGTTTATATTATTTTATAAGTTAAAGCTTATGTAAAATTATTACATACGTTGAGACTTGTGGGAGCTGTGCAGTTAGTTGGAGTGGTGGGTGGAGAAGTTTCAGAAGATATTGACTCTCGAGGAAGTCTTCTCTTTTTGGGAGGAGCTACCATGTCACTGATCGGAGGAGAATCTATGAAAGAAAAAAAAATTAATAATTTGAATCTTCCCATGAAACAAACCGTCTAACCTGGGCGACTTGACGGACTGTCACAGGAATGGTCCTCACTGATCGCCTGTCGCAACCATCTCTTTTTGGCACTGCCGCGTGGCTGAACGTTGCTGTCACAGTAGTTGACTGCCTGCGCCAACGTGGTTAAATTCTTAGCGGGAGAGTAAAAGCCACTGTTGGCATCGAATTCGGAACTGTTACTCAAGTGAGGGGTTAGTGACGATGGTGATATAGAACTTGCCGAATGTATCGGTTCGGGCACTTTATTCAACCATTCGTTCATCAAGCCTTTCTTGGTCTTCGGAAACTTGAAACCTGGTTCTAACGGCTCCACAGCTGCCTGAACCAGTAGACAAGCAGAAGATAGCGGAGTTTCTGGCGAGGAATGTGCGGAATTAGAGTTTGAGTCGACTTCTCTCGTTGGCGATTTTTCGAGTTTGTTTGTGTTCTCACCGTTAGACAAAGCGAGTAGAAGTCCGACGGCTCTATTATCGGCTGGTTCGCTACTCAGTTCCTTCAACGACGGTCGATTTGTGGGCTGACTGCCATCGTTAGGAGAGAGCATGTTCTCATCACCAGAGGTCATATAAGAATCCGTGGAGTTCAATCTGTTCCGACGAGCACTTTGACTTGTCGTTCTGGCACGGCCCTTCCGTCTTCGTCTTTTTAATTTGGGTTCCTGTTTATCCTCTTCCTTGGGAGTAGGACCGGGTTCGGACTCTCTTCTATGAGCCTGTTTGGCTTGATGTTCTTGCTTTCTTGATTCGGCTTTCTCCATTTGCTCGATAGCGCGTAAAATGGCTTCCAACTTTCTTTCCTCTCTGCTCAGTTTCTTACATTTTGTTTTCTCTTCCTTTGTATCCGAAGGTTTGTCATCCTCTTTATCTGATTTATAATTCAATGACGATCTTCTTTTATTAGTAACCACCTCGTCCGAGGGGGACCTCGCTTCTTCTTCCTTAATTTGCTCCTTTTTAACTTCCATTTGCAACTTTTCATCTGTTGGTTCTACCTTTATTTCTTCCTTGACTTCTTCTTTAATGGCCACTGGTTCCTCTAAAAGTTCCTCCTTAATCTCAAGTTTCACCTCCACGATATCCCTTTTTACAATTTCCTCCACTTTTTCATGTTTAACTGGAGAAGGAAGAGCTGCAACAGGCGGTGGAGGAAGAACAACAGGTAAGGGTTGGGGTTCTTCTTTCACTTCTTTTGGTGGATCGGCCTCTGGAAGACTGGAGGAAACAGTTCTCCTGCCCCTTCTCTTTCTTTGTCTGAAACATAAAATATACATGTATAAAAATATAGAGATATCAGCGCTTACTCACAATTCAGATGTTTCGTTATTCTTTTTAATGGTGGACTTATTAACGGCACACTGTTCTGCATTTCCGCAAGCACAGGCAATCTGCGTCGTCCCTATAGCCGCTAGATCATGAGATTCATGTTTGATCGTCAACTCACAATTCCTCTCTACCGTAGTAATTGACACAATGTATAAATGTAACACGCCTTTTTCGATGCAATGCCGCAATTCAGCGTTGGGTTTACAGGACCTCCTTATGAATCTTGCACTGTTTCCGTAAGTTCTGGTATCTACACAAACTTCTGTATTATCCTTATGTAACCGATAAAAAAACAAGAACGGGCCGGGTCTTTGAGAATGTTGGCGGGTTGTTAAGGAGCCGCCAGAGTTACGATGCTGCGTTGAGAGCATATATTTTCCTCGCAGTTCCACCACTGGACTGTTCGGGGACAAATGCACCGTACTCACAAGGTATTTTATTTCCGTCAAAGGTTGAGTGTGAACGCGACATTTAGACACTGTAGGGTCAAACTGCATGTTAAGGTCTGAATGAGCACTATTAACTCGTATGCTGGATATGCGGGCTCTTAATTCCGGTGAATAGTGATTAGTGACTGCCTCCTCGTACTTTTCTATCCATTGACGTAACTGTGGCAAATGAGACGACCAGGTGTCGTGGTTTTCATCATCACTATGTGACTTCGTCTGTGCCTTAGTCTACAACAAATATGATTATATACACAAATTATATGTACTTATAGTGCAATCTCTCTCGGATGGACCATAAAAATGTCCGTCCAAGAAAAAATCGGATACATTATAAAAAAAAATATTGTCAAAAGCTAAAATTTTTTAAAATTAGACTAAACGTTACGTAACCTTAAATATTTTATTACAAGTTTGAAAAATAGAATGTAGAACAGTTGTTGCATTTCGAAGCCAATGTATGCCTTGATTTCAGCACAGTATTATTAGTGACATCACTACCAGGATTATATTGCAAAATGAAAATAGATTAAAAAATATGGGACCATATTTTTTGTTTTATCATGTTGATATCATTTAAGTTCTAAAAAGAATTAAAACAGACATTGCGACTTCACTAGGCAAAAAATTTGATTCCATTTTCTTTCATTTCCTTCAATTATGGAATGAAGTCCGTGGATTGATAAAGTAATCACCTCTCATTTTGGGGCAAATTCCCCATTACCTACGTTGTAATATAAAATTTAATTTTAATTTTCAATATATTTTTATAATAACATGTAAAAAATATAATTTAAAAAATAGATATGTGGTTAGAAGAAAAAATCCTTGATTATTAAAATTTTTATTATTTTACGAAGCAAACATTTTGCCTTATCAGTCAAAGTAAATAACTGAATAGATTACTGGACAATAATGCTAAATTTTAATATAAAACAGTAGAGACTAAATTTTAGTAGTAGTTGATATATCTATCAGTTAGGGTATAAAAAAAATGAAGTAAAAGTTAATATTCATTAAAATATTTAAAAAACGTTAAACATAATGTCATATTTTCAAATCAAAATTTTGGGTCAAAATTGGAACAACAGTTGAGATACTTGGTCAATCTAAGGATTTCATTAAACACATTATAACGACTTTAAGTGGAAAATGTGAAATCATTGAATTTATAGAATTCTACATAAAAATTTGATGCAGAAATTGTTAACTGTTGCCACCTTACCAGTATGCAAATACACATTTACTGATTTTGCAAACTTTTCACTTAGTACGTAAAATAAAATTTCAAATTAGAAGAAATTAACTAATTTAAAAATAATGCCATTTTCTTTGCAATTAAAGCAACCTACCCGATTCCATTATTACTGAAGTGAAGATTTATCCGTTCGGGGAAACATTTTGTAAAAATATTAGAAATTTAGCATCTGCGTCTGCTCAAAAGAGACTATGCTCAAAAAAACTATTACGACAATGTCGTTATGGAAATGTGAAGAAATACAAGAGGTAGAGACCAACCGAATGTGATTCTTTTGGCCGATGCCGAACTTCAGTTTATGGGTCACCTTTGGTCGAAGCCGATGCTGAAGCTGAAGATATTTTTAGTAACTTGAAAATTTTAATTACAACAAAAATATGATATCATAAAAGTAGGTCAAAAATAAATGCATAATGTTTTCGAAATATAGGTATGTATAATAAACAATAATAAATAAAACAACAAACTCGCTCCAACTTGCTCCGTGTCGACTGTCGAATGTTGACGTGACGTCAATGGCTTCAGGGAAAAGTTCGGCTTAATTTTGGCCGAAGCCGATTCTTAGTCGAAAGCTTAAATAATGGTCGAATGTGGTGAAGCCAATTAATAGGTCGGTCTCTAACAAGAGGTGTCCACCAGTAGTGGGGTTATTGTTAAGGGAAATTTCATACCAATTCATCATCGCTTACCTTTCTTCTAACAATTTTCCGTTCCTTCCTCTTTTGTCGCCTATGTGACACTTCCTTAGCTGCTTCTCGCCTTTGCCTAGCAATTGTCTGTTTCTGATGATTATCACTCTTTCTTCTATTCGTCAATGTCCTACCTTTGGTGACGACATTGTTGTTATGAGCTTAAAATAAACAGCGCAATTGGAAAATACTGTATATACAAGTATTGCAAATACAAATATATGCAAGTTCTGATAAAGTAACAGAAAAATAAAATTGGATCTTTTTTAAACAGAATTTAAAAAGCAATCAGGTACACTGATTTTTATTTTATAAAATGCATCTTTTGCTGTCACTGGATAACTTGTAATGTCATCGATGTCAAGACTATGATTGACATTTTTTTTAATAGAATGTAACTTTCATAGCTCATTTTTAGAAAGTCTTCTCGATTGTCCATACAACGGATACTTAATATATTTTTTTCCACTACTTTCCATGATACTGCCGATCGCTTGAGCATTTAAAAAAATATATTTATTATTCATTTCTATTAATGAAGAAAAAACACTTATTACAACAAATCGGGTCATTTCGTTAGGTGAAATTCTAGAAAATGTTATATAAAAGGCTTATAAAACAGTCAATAAACAGCATATTTAATTTTCTGTTCATGTCTCTGAAATTCTTCTAAATAATAAATAGACAAAGAATTTTTATTAAATACATAGGCAATTCTGTAGTGTCTTCTCTACAGTCTAACAGTATCAACAACAACCCATAATAGGCTCTAGTGACTTAAGGCCCAGACTCCGAGACGAGAGGAGAAATGTGTTAGAAACAACCAATAGGATTTCGTTATTTACATATCTCGTCTCCGCTTAACTTCAGTGAATACGGTTGAGCAGAGAGGATAGGAAATGTCTCATATTTGTTTAGCGCAAACAAAACAGAAATGTCGCAAGCTGGCGACGGCGCGCAGCGGAGACAGGAGGAGATATGAGCGGCAGGCGTGCGGCTGCTTTTTCAGACTCTAGTTCTTCTTCTTCAAGTAAAACAAGACACACTTTTTGTAATAGTAACATGACTGACATCTGCTTTTCGTGCCAGATCGAGCTAAACTGTATGTAAGTTCGTTCATCTCAATATCTAATGCTCGCCGCACGCAGCTCAGCTCCGTTCTAGCCAATACACGTCTCCGGACAGCTTCGGTGGATACAACCTAGCTGTTAAGCATCTCCTCTCCTCTCCGCTTCGCACATCTCCGCTTTGATGGAGTCTGAACCTAAATGTAAACTGAATTTAAACGTATGGAAATACCAATGTAAATGTCATTCTATTGACAAATTCTAGCTGGAACTGTTTAAGGAGGTTTATCTGATTTGGAATTGACGAACAAATATTCATAAAAAAATTAATATAAGCTTAATATGAAGAAAATCCTCAAAAAAAATATGACTAGTTTGGATACCTAAGAGACGAGATATTAATAAAACAATATTTCACGATTTAGTACAGAGCCTGATAAGAATGCAGATTTTTTTGGTCTTTCCACTTAGAATGCGCAACAATTGACGAACAATTTCCACAGTAACGCCTCTTTCACACGGACGTTGTTTTGCCGGTCGGTAGCCGACCGTCAGACCTGACAGCGATGTATTTAACATATGAGAGCTCGTAGAAATCGATTAGGTACTTATAAGATACATAATTTATACTAATTCTCCTTCAAACTGTTGTTGTTGACTAACTTAAACTCCATATGCGTGATAGTGGCAACGCTGGGGTTCTCAAAGTAGCGTATTATTTGAAATTTGCAGGTATGACATATGATGTATATTTCAAGCTTAGGCATCCAAACAAAGCCAGCCAAGTGCAACGTTGCCAAATCTAATGGCTTATTATTTTAGTCACTAGCGAATCTACAGAAACTCTCGTTAGACTTTAAACGTACCTCCGTACCAGATAAACCCCCTTAAGTGTATTGAAACCACAGCGATGATAGAAAATGATTGAAATTCAAAATATGAAATGTTAAATAATTTTAAGTTCAAAATATGAAATGTTAAATAATTTTAAACAAATTTTTTGAAAATTACATAAAAAATAGGAAACTGCCCTATTATTACATCTCAAAAGATACATGAATTCCTAATGAATTCTGTTAAGAACATCTGGAATTGGTGCTGTAAAATTTACTTTGGGAGAATTTTTATCGACAAACATTGGTCTACGTAATTATATTAAAATAAGAAATACGAAATATTTTTGTATTTTCTAAAAGTGATGAAAATTTCCATTCTCCAATATTATCACGAAATTGCTGAATGTTTTCCAAACTTTTTGAAGATGCTTTTTAGTGGTCCAAAGTAACTCATATTTAAGACAAATTCTATAAGTATTAATGTAAAGTAGGCTGCTAACAACACAATTACAGCAATCGGAGTGCCACTCCTTTTATGCATCCTATTTTAACATACGTGAATGTTCTAGAATATTCTCAAACGCACGTAAAGCGTATTCTCACCTTTACAACACTATCTGTAATAATGATTCTTAAAAAATTATCAAAAGGATTAAAACCTGGTTACCTCACTGGTTATTCTACTGGCCCTCTTTTATCTATTTAAATAATGCAGCCTGTAGGTAAGTTTTCATTAACGTTAGAAGCATAATATAGGGAGAATCAGTCATATTGAAACCACATTGATTCGCTTAAAAAAAAATTATAATTAGCTATATCAGAACATGAGTGGTCCGTTGAATAGACAATTGGGAGGGCTTTCTAAAAATGTGTCAAAAAATGATCTTTCATTTAATAAAAATAGTCATTCGTCCAATTTTCAATAATACAAAACTTGCATTTCCATTCGATTGCTCCTAAAATCCGTCAGAATGGGAAAAAATAAAAATTTTATGGACAAAATTGCACTAAAATATAAACCATTTTAAAAATCATTTTAGGTTAACAAAGAAAAATATTGAGGAAGATTGTAAATGAAGTCTAAAATTATTTATTTATGATATAGTTCCAAGTATTTCTTTGTAGAAAAAGTGAGGTTTTAAAAAAAATTTAACTTTTTTAATCGAGTCATTGATCAAACTCATTTTCGATTCAGTGCAATCGTTCATAAAATTTTTTCCCCGAGGAATTTAAAAACTTGCTCAACCAAAGCGAAGCACCATAAAACACATTTCTTTTTTTTTTGACAAGGAACAATAGTGATTTTATTTGTTATTTTAAGATAACTCAGTAAATGGTTCTTTTGTACAACACAAATTAATTTAATAATATACATTACTCCATTATTTGACAGCTTGAATGAATTTCCTTATATTTTCTAATTTTGGTTATTTGATAAATTTAATGGGAAAACCCTCAGTACACAACTTAATTCATTAATTGAAAATACTTACAAACATGTTCCCCGTCGGAAGTATCACTATCACTTATAGTTTCTTTTGGCTTAAATACTTCCTTAACCTTGGCGTCCTTCCTAAGTTTAGGATCAGCAAACTGCCTGTCTCTCACCCACTGCTGTTGGACATTCCTTGCTCTTTGCCTGTCTATAGGCTTTGTAGGATCACAGGCTTCACACAAATATTCCTCGGGCACTTGTTTGTTTTTAACAACACACTGCACATGTTGCCATACTTTACATCTATCACATTCTACCATGTATCCATCGTCATGTAAGAAACCACTAAAAAAAAAAATATTGTGATTCTATTCATATTTAAGGAAAACAAATATGTACCAGATACATCTTGTCACATAGTCACCGTAACCATCAAAATGTTCATCATTAACTGCTTCTGCTTCTGGAGCAGTATCCGTTTCTTCTCCTTCAGTATCATGTTTTCTTTCAGAACCGTCCGATATATCAGAAGAAGCATCGTCATCTTGAGGCATTCTAATAGAGTTACTATTGCTTGCCGTCACTGACAAATTCGAGAGGCTGGAAGTGGAAGATATGGTATTCGATGATGGTAATGAACGTCCTACAAAATAAAGAACTTAAGTTCTATTATTCAAAGAAATTAATCACATCATTGCTTACTTTTGCCAGTACCAGGGGAATAAATAGAATTCGTTGATATGCCATTAATTTGAGACTGGGTGATTGAAGGAGGAGATGGTCTAGTAGGCGAGTCCGGTGGTAAAGTAGCGTTATAGTTATGATCTAGAAGTACCGCTTGGCAGATCAATGACAAGGCGTCAAGACCAGATTTACTTTTGTCCTCTGTTTGTTTTGTCGTCTCACTGTAACATTCATGACAACTGATGTTTATAAATTCCCATCTCAGAAACTACCACAGAGCACATTACGTCCCTTCCAATAACACAAACAATATTTACTTTGTATTTATAATATAAATTTATTACTTACAAACCCATAAAAAAAATCGAAAGAACTGTGCCACATTCAATAAAAAAGTACAAGAAAATAAAGATAAGAAAATAAGAAAAATGTATGATAAAACTTTGAATGTACAGGGTGCTTACAAACTTGAAGTGAATTTTTTAATGGTAGGTCACTTTTACATTAGTTTTCAATACAGAAACATGTCTTTGATTACGAATCAGAGAGCACATGTGTAAGTGAAGTTATTTATTTTTCTAGGTTCTTATTGTATCTTGACTGTGAAATGACCTGTCTCAGATGTGTACTAATAAGCAGGAATAAACATACTAAAATCGCCGATCAATATAGTAACAATGATATAGTGATAAGGTAAACTGCAAATTAACTTCACATCTTTATGTACAACAATTTCTAAATAGGCATGCATCAACACCTGCAAGCTGAAGTAGAGCCAACAGTTCTAAAAAAGTTTTCATCGTATCAATGTGGTAAGTCAGTAGGCACTAAAACAACAAAATATTCTATTTGCAGAAAATATTTCTGCCAATCGAGTGTTCACTCCTCATTTTATTTACTCTTCAAATATCTTCTCAAAGTTTGTAAATGCCTTGTACAACAAATTATTATAATCATTAATTAATTTATATTTTCAACATTATCTAACTGCATAATAAACTAATTAAAATAATTCTTTAATAAGTAATATGATGTAAAATTGTAAATATAATAGTACATTAAGATTAAGATTAAGAATTGTTACATTAAGAACTTAATACTTACACAGCTTGTTTCGTATCAGGACAGCTAAAGGCATTCTGATATCGTGTTGGCAGTATTTCATATGGCAAAGACGTACTGGTATTACTCAGAGTCTCGATAATTTGTGCTGTGAGAGCTTGATTAAAAGTTAATTCGGTTAAATGTTTGTCGGGCATTTGAGGACCATGAACGTTGTACGCCACATTTTGTGTCATTTTAATTCCTCTCAGTTTCCCATGTGTCTGCCTCATTTTCTGCGCCTGAACAGCATGTTTACCAATATAATTCGGTTTATTGGCTATCTTTTGTGGCCTCTGTGGAGGAATAGTTCTCAAACCAGAACCGGTTCTCTGTACTTGGCCGGGTATACTTTTGTGCTGTGGAGACAGGGTTTTTATGCCTTGTTGAGGCTTCTGCATGTAATTATTTATGGGAGGAATAGTTTTTATTTGGCTTTTATGAGTTGGATATACCACTCTTGTAGGGGATTTATCTTGCATTTTCAAATTAGAATTCATTGTGGTTTTCACAACATTGTTTGAAGTTGGTTTGCTGATGTACTTTGTTGTTGCGCCATTAGGTCCAATAATTTTTTGTCTTGGAACATATCGTTGAGGATTTTTGTTGAGTAATATATTATTTGTTGTCTGTGAAGTACCTGGCATAACAACATTACTCAAAATTTTTAATTTACTTCTCTGACCATTAACTGCTTTTGAAGAAGAATTTATATTTGTCAACACCTAAAATAATACAAAAATGAAAAAAATCTAAAAAAAATATATATATAGAACTTACATTTGTTTGTGGGAAGCTATTGGCCGTTAATAATTTGTGACTCTGAGGGACGTCAGGGACTGTTGAATCTGGGCAAGTATTTTTAACAAAAACATTGTGGCCCCTATTCTCGATAACTGGAGAAGCATTGTTTATTAGACCGACACTATTTGCAACCACATCAGTTGCAGTTTTCTCAACGCTCTGTGTGGTGATTGCTTTGACCACTGTCACTGGTGCATTAAGGAGAGTAATTGTTGGTGATTTACCCACAGCGTTTGTCACGTTCAGAGGGGTAGAGTTAACCAAAGTAAACTGAGGAGCACTCGACACTCCAGAAGTAACACACAAAGTTTTCACAACTGTCAAAGGTCCAGAAGGATTCAGAACTGTTATTAACGGAGGGTTCACAACCTTTTGCAAAACTGGGTTACAATTGTTTGCCGAGGGATGATTAGCAACAACTAACTTTGCAATACTTTTTGCTGCCGGAACCTGCTGTTCGGATTTATCACTGTTTGCATGTATAATATTAGAATTAATTGGCGACTGGATGACATTAGTAGTAACCGGAGGCTGAATAATATTAGCTGAGACATTATTATTCGAAGATGACGGAGTAGTAGTAGCAATTTCATCCAGTATCTGCGAAGTTGCCGAAGATGTGCCCACCTGTTTGGCGAGCACGTTAGTTGCTTCAAAACACACACTCATGTTTTGATAAACGCATATGCTCGAGTAAGACCCATTTTTCAGATTATCTTCTCTACTTTTATGTAAACTACAATCAGTGGCTTCCCCGCCACCACCCTTTTCAAAAACGCTGGAGGGGTCCAGATCAGAACAAATGTCTGAAAATTTAAAGAAAGTTAAGCAGCTATAACATGTCGCATACGATACATTTTCATAATGTATTCTAGATATATGTATATGTATTGATAAATATGTAACCAAAGGAAATCAGAATAAAATTTATATTTCATGTTTCTATTATACAGCTTGATCTAATTTAAAACAAGACTTTTTATTTTCAGGGAAATTTACTTTAAATATTAGTAATCATTTCTACATTATTTCAGACGTAAGCCACATTTATTTCATAGTTCTACCTAATTTTATAAGTATACTCGAAATGTAAATAATAACGTCCTTGAGAGTATCCTGGGAACTTCAAAAATATCGTTTTTAAGAGGAGGACTGTAAATAAATGGACTAGAAGGGAATGAAAAGGGGGAACATTATTTATATTACAATTGTTTAAAAACCTTTTATTAATTATAATTATTGGGAGTTAAAACAAACTGCGGTACGCTCAACTAACAATTGGAACTAACCGCGAGCGTGAATCGAGTTCTTCGCAGCAAGTTTCAAAGCAAAACAAAACATTCCAGAGAAAAGCGACGGCGTGAACTAGCGGAGGTCGCGCATGCGAGTTAAAATCGCGTCCGCGATATGAGGCCCGAGAAAGGAGAACAGAGAAATAATACATATGAAAAGTGAACACAATTGAACTACACAACACAGCATTTCGCTTGGATTCGAATATGCTTTACATGTCATGTAAAGGCTATCTTATATCGATTGTTTTCTAGTTAGATGTGGGCGTGATGCAGCTAATTCATTTTTTATCATCTAAAAATGCGATCCGCCATATCATTTATTCCTTTAGCAAATCAATTATGTCGAGATTTGATCCAGTATCAAATTTAAAAAGTTACGTAATGGCGAAAAAATTCAAATTACATTTCGTTTCAAGATATTTTACATTTATGATACAAGTCTGTACATGTACTGTGTAGAGTACAAAATTACGAGATGTTAGAATATAAAACGTTTTTAATCTGATAAATAGGAAGTAACTACCCATCCTAAGTATGTTGACCGACTAACTTGCTGCTGCAATAATCAATTTAATAAATGCTACAAACAATATTTAAACTTTTATAATGCAAATTACTGTACTGATTTCTAAAAATACATAATATAATGAATTTTACACATAAACTACTGGTAAGAACGTCCAACTGCAACGACCAAAATAGATAATATAGTGCATTGTAAATATTTTTAGAAAGTGACATTTTCCAGCAATAACACCGTAATATTTACCTCTTTTAAATTATACGATAGTCAATATTTTTATAAATGTAAAAAATGATTCCAAACCAGTTTACGTTGCTCCAACGTAAAAATGTTAGGCACAATAACATAACCAGTCTAGTCTAGGTTTAGAATTTGTTAATATAGTTTATTTTAATATGGATAATACACTTTTCATACAAATTCCAATAAGAGTGTTATTAGTTAACGTCGTTAAATACTTAAAACAATGCAAAGCATAGGTCAACATTGAATACGGTAAGAAATGGTTTTAGAGAAAGAACTCGGAAATACTCAGCCAAATTAGTAGAAGTATGAATTAAATTATGGTGATAAATACAAACATGAATGGAGTATTTGATTTAATTCTGTTTTAAGCTGGTAAAGATACGAAACTTACCTTAAATGACCAAAAATTGTCGAGAAGAATTCAGTAACCGATGTAAACAGAAACATTTTTTAACACAACCGATACGGCATTAAATTTTAAAGAGTTACTTTTAATTTAAACACATTTCACCATTTGTTTTCACTAAAGTGATAATATTTTGCTATAATATTACCGTATATGCAGCACAAAATCTATAACACTTTTGAAAACAGACATCTAAACTAAATATGGCAGCCATATTCTGTGCAAAACAAAGGAAACGTAGCTACGAACCCCAATCTATAATCTCGAACCTTGTCGTTTTCCGTCTAAATACTTTATATAGGATGAAACAGAGGGCGCTGACTTCAAAAATATTAGGAAAGGTTGTTTGTGTTTATTGATGCTGGTTTATGAAAATCGTGTTCTAATTAAAATTTTATTCATAATTTGTATTTCTACATTTAATACTATAATTATAATAAAGAAGATATTTATTTTCCAAGAGGTTGAGCTGGTGGCCAAGTCCACTGAGTGGGAGGTGCTTGTTTAACTAGAGGTTCCCAGGGTTTCCAATTTAACATTTTGCGGGCTAATATTAATTCATTCTCAGCTTGGACAATAATTTCTTCAATTTGCCCACATCCTATTTGTTTCTCTATAACATCGACGTTTTCATTTGCTTTTAAAATTTGAGTTCTTTCGTTTATGATTTCCTCGGTATATTTTCTGTAGGCAGCACTCTCAGGCATTTTTTGTAAAGTTCGTAAAATTTTACTGTATAACACACCTAAAGTATGATGAGGGTTTTTCGCGACAGCAAGTCCTGTTAATCCAGTGGTAACTTTGGTAGTAACTCCTGCCATTTTATGATTATAACTATTACATAAACTAGTCGTTCAATTTTATGTAAAATTTGGGGTTAGATTTTGCTGTCGTATTTTTACGATTTTTACTGTCAAATGTCATGGTCTTCTAGATCTGCCGCTAAAATTTAAAATTATGAATTGTGAACATATTATTTTGAATATCTACATTTTATTTAAAACAGATAGATTTAAAAATATATATTAATGTATCATAATCACTTTAGTTGAATTTATACATAATTTTGGTATTTATATTTTTATAATGATAAAATATATATCGCAACAGAATACTTATAGGTAAACAAAATTTATCATTAGCAACAATTTTTTAGGTATATTATTTTTATATACATTTAAATGAAGAGCTTTATTTGTGTATTATAAACTTGTTGAAATCTCAGTTTACTGATTTGCACGTATATATGATAATTGTTTTTTTATAGTAACATGATAACCACATCTTTGCTTAGAATAGTGGTATGTAATAAATCTCGATTAATGTAATATTTAACTGCCATACGAGCTTCAGTCTGGCTAATGAAAACTTAGTACCTAGGTAGTCTGTATATTAAAGGTAGGTATTATACATTTTAGAATTTTGCATTTCAATTAACATTAATATCATTAGTAGTTTATAATTTGACATTAAGGTAGAGGGTTTATTAATAATTAGAAAAAAAATTACAAAAATATTACGACTTTCCATAGACTACCTCTCGGGCCAATTTTTTAAATGTGGAACTTTTATATTTTTGCATATTGAAATAGTGACAGCACTTTTTTAGGGTTACAGAAATGCGTTTTGAAAGGTCTAACAAATAATTCATAATTATAGCACAATGCATAACCATGTGTTTGAAAGAGATTACTACTATTTGCCAGACAATTAGTCGTTGGGACCATGTTCATACAATTATAGAAACACAATTTCGTGTAACTTTTATTCCGAAACAAGACACAATAAACATTTTAAAAAATGCAACAAACTATTATTAAGTAGGTCCTAAAAACGTTTTCTAATGAAATTTATGAGCCTGCATTTGCCTCACTAGCAGAGAAATTCTGAGGTTGATGATAATGCTTAATGCTACATGCATATCGTCGTCTGGGTCGAAACGGTTCCTATTTTTATTTTTTATTAAAAGTTGCGCTGAGAATCCTTGTTCACAATGAAAAATTGTGGAAAATATCACCATATATGTTAAAGCAGCTTCAAATAAGCAAGGTTTATTGCACCAAAACTATTTGAGGCTTACACCTGAACTAAGGGTGTCTGCCTCAATCAACGCTCCAGCTTATATATTAATTAGCTGTACTCAGTCTCGCAGACGACCGGTTAGGAACATCTTGTCTAACACATCACTCTTATGGCAAACTGTTTTGGCCATATCTTCCTTACTATTAGAGATGGACGTATGAAACCTTATATCACTAATGCTAAGTACTCTAACCAAATATGTAAATATATATTTAAAAAGTTGAAGTTCATTTATTTATTTTAATCAGTTCAAAATAAACAAAAAATAATGAAAACCAGAACTTCTCCTAATACTTACATTATGTAGAAAATACACATATCATATCTTGATTAAAAATTTATTATACAATTTGTAATAAAAATAGTTTTTAGAAAAACAAATAATCACATCATACAAAATATTCATTATATCAAATTGTTGGATATGGAACTACTGCTGTTCATAAAAGACATCGCAGTTTCTTTGGCATCCCAACTCTCTTGCCAAAAGGTACGCAATCTATCTTCTGAATTGATACAGAATTCACGGAAGTCTCTCAAGAGTTTTAATTGGAAGTTAGTGTCTACACCTTGATTTGTTCTCCACCTTTTGCTAACCATGTGATTCCAACACCAGAGAAATCCCATCTAAAAAAATCGTGCAATAAGTTTATGTGAAATTCTGATGATCTAACATTGTTTCGGTTTTGATCTACAAAATCAAATAGATTTACTTGAGATCTTCATTTTTGGTAACTTATTCATCTGTTCTCTCACGCATAGAATCTTACCTTTCTAGAATTGTCATAATCATCTTTATTTTTACCAGACACATGCCTGGTAATGTATGCTTCATGAGGACTTGGCACAACATCAGCATGAACAGAATAACGTCCAGTACTGCTCCGCACAGAAGAACTGGTCCGACTCTTTATTTTAGGCATAGCACTAGATACCAATATGAACACCGTACCTGTTGCATGAATGTACTGATGTTCGGATGAACGATTAGCCTTATTCGCGTGTTCCACTCGACATGAAATGAATCCAAACCTTTGAACAATTGCTTCTTGGAATAAAAATAACCGTTCCGTATAAGTATCTTCCTTAAATTCTGCAATTCAAAAAATTGTGATAAAAAATACGTAAAACTGGTAAAAAATAAAAAATTAGATACCTTTAAATAATCTATCTCTTTCTTCTAAACATTTAATATTGAGAGGTACGAATATAGGACCTCTTAAGGGATCAGATTTATTAGAATAAGGTAGAGCTAGTGGGTCGTGTGGTATTGGAATCATTTGTAACCCACAACTCTGAGCTTTTCGATGCCATCCGCTGAGCTAAGGTTAAAAAAAGTTGCAGTGTTAATATTTGAATATAACAGTCAATTTTTACAGTCATGACAATTCAAGTACTTACCAGTTCAAAAACTATAGAACCTGAAGAAGTCAACCACTCTACAACCAATTCGTAGGCTTGATCAGGTCGGAATACTGTCTGATACCTTGTATGACCCCATTCAACTCTATCACTTTTTCCGGTTACATCAGTCTCTAATCTCATTCGGTTGTACATTATCCCTAAAAAAATAATACATAATATACATGTATAGATATACTAATGTAAAATCGTAATGGTTAAGTCATGCAAAGTACTAAAAACATTTATCTTCTTATATAATACCATCAACGTCGCAATCAGAATATTCCGCATCGATGTCCTCACACAGAAAATGAGGAACTCCTCGTTCTCTGTCTGAAACTGAGTTGGGAACTTTCAGAGCCACTGGTGAAGTGTTTAATCCCCAGTTTAAAGGGGGTTTTACTTCTACTTCCATCCATTCATTTTCGAAACCTTGGATGTCACCACATGGTTGAAGAATATCTTTATCGTCTAAATACAGGTAAAGTTAAAAATATAACACATATAATTTTGTATTCTATTGATACCTTTATCACTATAGACAATGTAAAACAAATAAAAACCATACAGAAAAGATCTCTGAACGTCTCCAGATCCATGACGAATTAATTGTTCTTTATGTAATGTTTGCATAACCTAAAATATAATATAAATATTTTGTGTCATAATTATGATGATGCTACAAGTCATACCTGAACGCCTTTTTCAACTGACGTAACACCTTCCATATGTGTCATTAGCCAGTTCACTGAATCAGCAGTCACAAATGTAAAATTTGGCAGATTCTGTGGCAGATTAATAAACGATAATCCACTTGTAGGATGCTTCATTGCTTCTATAAGTTCTGTTCCTGTGGCACTGGATTTGAGTAACATAATAGTAGGCACAGTACTATAATAAAAAAATATATTTTATGAAGTATTTCAAATATATTTAAATACTTTTCGTCTGTTGCCATTTCGTGACCTTCTCGTAATTCGCAACTGGATTCTTGAGAACTTTGGGAAGTTCGACTCCTGTCCATAACTTTGGAACCTGACCTAAATGTATTTATGTTTAAGAAAAATACACTAGAAACTTATGGCAATAATAGTAAATATAAATAAATATCACTTTAACTATAATCTCATATAAACTTACAACGGAAACAATTCTAAATTTAGTTTAAATTGTCAGAATACACAAATTAATAATAGGATAAGGTCTAAATATTCAGTACCTAATCTAATAGCTACTGAAAATTTAAAACAATGTCTATTTAAACCATTAACTAAACGTAAATTAAAAAATAAAAATGTGTGAAATATATTTATATTTACAATAAAGATATCATATTTTCTATTAAATAAGTTGGTTTTGTTCAAATTAAAGCCTTTAAATGTAATTTACCACCACCTTCAAGAATAAAAAAATAATAATTTACTTACTAGTTATTAAAGCCAATGAAAAAATGCAATGGTGTACATGAATAATTCAATAATAGTATAGCAGAGAGCCTATTAAACATTAAGCATGGTTTGTATAAATGCAACATTTTCTTCAACTCATACAAATCGATATTTTCTAATAAAATAAAATAGGCTAGAGGTAGACGAATGTAGTATTATTTCTTTATGAATGAACCCAGTCCAACGAAACATTTTACAAGATGGGCCAATTTTAACGTTTTTGGGGAATTTCCCATATTTCTCAAAGATATGGATAAAAAATCTTTAAGAAGTCTCAGATTAGATATTCAGAGTCGAGCAGTGAAAAATCACAGCTCAATATTTTGTTTCATCTAAGATATACAGGACAAACCAAAAAATATGTTTAGGTTATAACTTAAAAACTGGCCATTAAAGAAAAATATTACATAGTCACAGCATTCTCATAAAGAACTAAATAAAAAACCACTTCATTCATTCAACAACCTAAAAAAATAATCGAAAATGAAAAACAACAAGATTTTGAGATTTGGTTTCCACTGTTCAATTTTTCTCGAAAATCAACTGTTTATTAATACTTTATCTGTTCAGGAAATATGAGCAACTTCCCAAAAGTGGGAAAATGAGTCCATCCTATACAGATTATCTTTTTATTGCCACATTAGTTGTGACATTACAACAATACAGGGTGTAACTTTAAGTGGTGGTCAATTTTTTAGGGGTAATTGTATGTGTTCCCCTGAATATGAATTTGAAATTCTTATATGTTTAATCAAATAAATAGTCGAGTTATAATTAGTTTTTTAACTTTTACTAATTGTGTTTTAAAAATAATATTTTAAAAATAATTATTTTTGTCATTTTAAAAAATGTATATAATAAAAATAATAAATAATTGATATGAAATATTTTTACAAAATCGTTTCAAGTTTTAAGAAACAATAATTATGCGTTATTATTTTTTTAAGCAGTGTATGCATATGTGAATCTATGTCAGTGACCTCTGATTTTGCCTAATTCAACTGAACTACAATACTGTCACTATGTAAAGTAGATAGTAACGCGTTTAGAAAAATTAATACAAAATTCTAAACAAAATATGGTATGTTTCTACTCTTTTTTCTTATTCAGCCACCTCAGTAGTCAATCGGTGCTAGACATATTAAATTAATTTAAAGTAAAGAACGCAGCAAAGACATAATCATGAACCATTTAAATTTAGGCAGAATCTGAATTTGTTCCTAACGCCTAAGAGAAACAAAGGTTAGTCTCCTTTGTTCAGTTAAAATTCCTTATTAAAAGCCAATTCACTTCACAACTGATATGAGACAGGATGGTAAACAGGTAAAAAACATTAATACGACGAAACAGGAAATGCCAAATATGTGCTGTTGCATTTTTACTGTTTTTATGCAGTGTAAGTGTATAACCTTATGAAGTTAATTATTTTGGTGTTTAGTGATGGTACAGCGTATTTTTGGGTTTGCGTTTTCAAGCTTTTGTGTGATATTATGAAAAAGTATATATAGGGATAGTTGATATGGTTAGAACTTACTTTTTGTTAGGAGAAAATGAATCAATGCATACGAGCAGTTCCCAAATGTGCAGCATTAGCTTAACCACCGATGGGGTATAAAAAATTACTCAAAAAAAAAGTTAAAAAAAATTTTGTTTTCATGATGGAATTTGAGAAAACAAACTTATGATACGTGTTTCTAAAGGTCAAAGGTATCCTCCATATAAATGTGACCCCAATTCAAAGTTACACCCTGCATATGAACCATTTACTATATTTTAAATATAAAAAACACCACTTGCCCATTTTGCAAATAGACAAAATCTGTCAGATCTTGTGCTTCCCGTGGTTGGGATTTTCACTAGTATTAATCTAATATTAGTAAAGAAAATAAAAGTTAAATTACCTAAGTGAGGGTGCAATATACCGCTCACTCGAGCGTGCTGTAGTATTCTGAAAGCAAGCGTCACTAATATTAACAAACGAAAATTCGCAAACAAACTATTACATAATTATGCAGAAAATGACATCATAGGTGAGCGTTTTTGTTATTATAATCTACACATGCCCCTATTCCGCACTCCAAGCTGAAAAAATAATATTTTGATCAAACCTTGGACGGGGACGGTCGGAAAGCCTGTTGCTACCTAATCTTTCTCGAAACGGTGAATTAGAGCCAATATTCTGGAAATTGTTAACAATTATTCAATAAAACTTTAATGCACACAAAAAAGAATAACTTTAGATGACAATTATAAATTAATATACTGAAAGATTAGTGTCATCCAAACTACAAGATATGTTTTCAAACAGTTTCATTTTAACAAAGAAAGAACATTCTAAAAAAGAACAATTATTACATATTTTTAGTTTAAAATACGGATAAAGCATAAAACTACTGTTAGTACATTCTACTAACAATTTGTACTGGGTGTAATAATTACCAATTTATTAATATGTAAATAACAAATAGTAACATCTGTATTACACATTATAATTATTGTTCCATATTCCTTTCTTTGTTGAAATTGAATTAAGTTATCAATGAATATTTATGCCACAACAAGCAGCAAGTAAGCCAGCTCTGCAGAAATATTTTTTATTTAAGAAAGAAATTTAAAATTATTAAAAATGCAAATATAATTTAAAGATAAAGGCAAGTTATTAAGCTTAATCATTTATATATTTCTCAAGAACACGCCTGCACGATAGTATATTTATGTATGTTACTAAATTAATATAAGTAATTTTTCTAATTAATAATAAATTAATTATGTTAAAATGAAAATGCAAATTAGAAAATTTATTAGAACATTTTATAAAAAGTTGCAAACATTTGATGGTACCTACTGCAATATAAAACATAACCTGGTACAAAAAAAGTTATCTAATATATTACAAACACGCAGTATGAATTAACTATGTCATGGATAATGTGATTATTTTATACACAATTCTCCATAATTCCGAGGCATTACACATGACAGGCAATAATAAATAAGTGTTTAATAATTTAAATTATAAAAAAAAGTTTTGATGGAAAGGAATAGCATCTTTAAACGAAAAATTATCTCAAGTTTTTAACTTATTATATTAACAATATACAGGATGTAACGGATGCTGATAGCCAAACTTCAGGGGGTTATTATACAAGTAATTTTCAACAAAAAAGTATTATAAGATTTGTTTGGAAAGTTGATAGTTGTTCTTTTATTTAACATTTTTTGATTTCAAAAAATGTTAGTGCCTTTTTTCATAAAAACAAAAATATTTCCTTTATTCTTACAGCCATATCAAATTAATCATACCATCAGAAAGAGCGTTAAATTTACTACAAGACGAGCATATATGAGTGTTTAAAAAATCTTCTATACCAGGTGCTGTAAAAAGTTAAATGTAATAATTGTGAAATGGGCAAAATTAGTGGTATCTTCTTATTGGTGGTAACGCCAAAAATTTGTTAATGAGGATGTGTTTTTTCTTCAGCAAAAACTACTGTATTTAGTAAGCTTTTCAACGATATACCAACTTCTGAGTTTGCTATTTTTTTTTGGCAACAATGTCAAGGGCAAAGGTAATAAAACCGTAAAAATCGAAAATACACAAACTTTATAGTATTTTATTTTTATTTTAACAAAATTGTTGAAAAATTATTTATAACTTAGTAACATATTTACAATGACTTAATAATTTTCGATGGGGGGCCCTCTTGACAGATACATAAAGCGCACCTTCTCCGCACGGAAGCAACTGTGCGTCGCACTTCCCCATTTTGCTGTCGAAGTAGCTCCCAACAAGCAAAAATCCTTTGTTCGAGCTGTTCTCGAGTTTCAATTGGTACTTCATATACCAAATATTTTAATCTACCCCATCAAAATAAGTCTAACGGAGTTAGATCAGGACTTCGAAGAGGCCACCTAACAGTACCAAAGCGTCCTATCCATCTATCTTCATAATGCTCATTTAGCCATGCCCGAATCTCCCTGCTGTTACGTGCAGAGCAACCATCCATTTGAAGCCAGGAATTAATCCGAAAATTTAAAGGAACCTCTTCTAATATATTATGCAGTTCATTCTGAAGAAGATCAAGAAATGCCTCTGCATTTAATGTATTTTCTAGTATAATTGGTCTAAGAACGTAATTTCCAATTATACCAATCCATACGTTAACTTTGAATCCGTACTAATTATTGGAGGGCCTGACAGCATGAGGATTCACAGGTGCACACGTATGGTCATTATAACAATTAAATATGCCATCTCTGGTAAATGTTGACTCGTCAGTCCAAATTATATGCTTGTAAAATTGCGGATCTCTGTTAGTTTGTTGGATATACCACTGACAAAACTGAACACGTTCTGCCCTATCACGATACAGTAAACTTTGAACAGGGGTCAAATGATAAGGGTGAAGGTTGTTCCTTCTGAGCCTTCTGTGAACTGACGTATGCGAAATTCTCCCAAATTGTATTGCTGCCCTGCGCGTACTTAATGTGGGAGTTTGTTCAAAAAGCACTGTTATAATTTGGTCTTGATGACGATTTACTCGATCGGCATTTAGACAATGATATCCTGGAACACTCTCTGTTTCTCCTAAAACCCGAAATGTATAGTTACAAAAGTTTTTCTGTTTGGAATGCGTCTTTCAGAATAGCGGCGAGAATATTCTGCAACTGCTACTGTAGAATTTCTATTGCAAACACCATACACAGATAAAATATCTCGATACTCATTATTTTTTGTGAAAAAATGTGGCATCTTCAATTTAGATACTTAAGGAGGTTCGATACCGAAAAAAAAAATGGTAAGAAAGTTTACAAAATCATTGAAACCTGTTAATAAATATACCAACTGGCTCGTGTAAAAATATCAGATCGATTGCTAATATAGTTTTTTTGAAAAATGATAATAAAAATTATGCTCTTATACACAGGCTCTTATGGGAGTTGTGAAAAAACTTTAATCAAACGTGAATATTGCTCTTAAAAATGGTTAGGATGGGGAAAATAAAATTCTAATTAAAGAATTAAATATTACTAAACATTTTAAAACAATAAAAATATGCACTTACAATGTAATTACTGAGATAATGGAATGAATAGATAACGTTTTGACAAATTTGAACAAACATCTGATCCAATAAAATGAAATATGGCAACATTGTATGCTGTATTTAACGCTTCGACTGACTCGCTATATTTGAATAGCTCGACTATAGACTATATAATTATTCTAGTCGATGTTTGTAGTAATAATTAATATTAAATAAATTTTTCGTGATCTAATGCAATATAATAGCAATTTGAAACAAAAATTGAAAGGATTTCGTTGCAAAACGAACAGTATAGATGTTCTGTCATAATCTTCAATTTGACAAGGCGACATATCACTGGTATCATCATACACTGAGATTTTGTTCACTTTTTTCTCATCAATCCACATTCTGTTTCATACGCATTTTATATTACTTTTCAGTCATTACTTTTCCTTTGTATTTTGGATGTTCATTTATGTTTGCGGAATACGCGCAAAGTACAGTTGACAGTAATGACAGTTGACCCAACTTTTACCACCACGCCATGGCAGTGGCAATGATGCCAGATTTCATCCATAATTTTACAAGCTCTTAATGAATAAATAGACACTTTTATTCAAATAAAAAGTTAATTGCCGTGCATTAAACACAAAAAATATATGCAAGCTAATATGTGTTGTATAAATTTCATTCGTATATATTATATTTAGTGCGCTCAAATTAGTTTATGTAAGGTTGGTACTATAACGAAACTACCGTGTATAAGCTAAGGCTTCCTCCCCGCACCGCCTGCCCCGCAAGAGAAGTATCGAACATCCTTAAATAATCAACAAGAACACTAAAGTAATTTTATGACTTTGACAGTTGTGTCAATATTGTTTTTCACAGCCGCCTTGGCATTTATCTATCATGAAAGACGCATTCTAAACAAAAACACGTTTGTAACAATATTTCAGATTATAGGAGAAAGAGGGAGAGTTAAAAAAACAGCTTTTTGAAGAAACTCCCACAAAAACTACATGCATGGAGTAATATGAACAGACTTAAAATAAAAATAAAGTACTATAAAGTTTGTGTATTTTCGATTTTTACGGTTTTATTACCTTTGCCCTTGATATTGTTGCCAAAAAAAAATAGCAAACTCAAAAGTTGGTATATCGTTGAAAAGCTTACAAAATACAGTAGTTTTTGCTGAAGAAAAAACACATCCTCATAATTTTTGGCGTTACCACCAATAAGAAGATACCACTAATTTTGCCCATTTCACAATTATTACATTTCACTTTTTACAGCACCTGGTATAGAAGATTTTTTAAACACTCATATATGCTTGTCTTGTAGTAAATTTAACGCTCTTTCCGATGGTATGTCTAAATTTAATGTGGCTTTAAGAATAAAAATTTTTTTGTTTTTATGAAAAAAGGCAGAAAATTTTTTGAAATTAAAAAATGTTAAATAAAAGAGCAACTATCAACTTTCCAAAAAAATCTTATAATACTTTTTTGTTGAAAATTACTTGTATAATAACCCCTTGAAGTTTGGCCATCATTATCCGTTACACCCTGTATATTTTTTTAAATATTCTAATATATTCCAGAATTATTTCCTAGAACAGCCGTTAATAAACTTAATTTAAAGCGCTCTTAGAAACTAACATACTCTTTTAATTACTGCTGTTGCTATATTTAAAACATTAGTTCAACATTTAGTTTGATTAAGAGAAAATAATAAATTTCATATAAATATGCGCAGTGCAATTAATACGCAGTAAGTGGTTAATCACAACACATCACATAAAATACGTTAAGTGTTAATGTCAGAAGAAATGTTTAATACCTACTGGTCCTCATAAAAACTTCACTAACAAAACTTTTTTATCTATCATTTCATATTTATTTCGATTTATGTATAACAAAATTTTACAACAAAATATAACTATACTGGAACATGCACTACTTATTTACCTTTAAACGATCTATGATCTAAGAAAGGTCGTTCAAAGGGTAAATGTACTTTTTGTTCATAATTTTTATACCCTAAACCAAACAATTAAAGGGTCAAAAGAGTTTCTGAAATTTTTCCGTGATTTTTGACAGACTGTATTTAAGTGAAAAATGGTCGTATCGAGAATTAAAAAAAAACATTTTGAAGCTCTAAGATTCTAGTTTTTAGATCTTTCGGTCGAAAATTTTTAGGAGCTACGGTTCTCATACAATACTAAGAAATAGCGCGACAAAGAATTTTGCAAATTTTTTAATTTTTTTTCCGAGTTCACGGATTTGGAAAAATTTTTTTCAGCTAAGCCATTGCATGGACCATATAGCTTGTTTATTCAGCATTAATTTCCTTTTTTTAAAATTTCGATACGACCATTATTCATCGAAATATTGGACTTTTAATGGAAAGGGATCCTTTTGTCTTCAATCATCGAGATGAAACTTCACAGGGTTCTTCTGGGTATATCGAACTGTAAAAGTCATGCTTAACATTAGTAATTTCGTGAATATTTCTAATTTAGCCGTCAATTTTCTAAAAAACCATAAATTACCCTTTTTTTCCTGTTTTTTAAATTCGTGTAAGACGAAAAAAAAAAAAAATTCCGAAAAGTTGCGGCAGCATGTTATAGGACATTTATTACACTTTTCGAAACTGCTCTTCAATTCTCTGTACGACCATTTGTCGCCGAGATATCGATGATTGAAGACAAAAGGATCCCTTTCCATTAAAAGTCCGATATTTCGATGAATAATGGTCGTATCGAAATTTAAAAAAAAGGAAAGCTGAATAAACAAGCTATATGGTCCATGCAATGGCTTAGCTGAAAAAAATTTTTCCAAGTCGGACTCGGAAAAAAATAAAAAAAATTTGTAAAATTTTTTTGTCGCGCTATTTCTTAGAATTGCATGATAAAAATTTTCGACCGAACGATCTAAAAACTAGAATCTTAGATCTTCAAATTGCTTTTTTTTAATTCTCGATACGACCATTTTTCACTTAAATACAGTCTGTCAAAAATCACGGAAAAATTTCGGAGATTCTTTTTACCCATTAATTGTTTAGTTTAGTGTATTTGAATCTTCAAGAGAGGAATAATCTTCGTTTGATTGCAAATATGTTCCGGAGATTTCCAGTATCAATATATTTCACTGGTGTACACTTCTGATTTTTTAATGTTTTTAAAACCTTTGCAAATTATAATCTAATAAAATATATAGTTAAATTTCTGGTAAAATACCTGAGAAAAATTGCTCATACTGTTACGTCTAGGTTGCGCCAATGGTGGAAGGCTTAATATACTCAGTGACATCTACAACATGCAAAAAAATAAAAGCTACTACCAGCATGCAAAAAAAAAAGTTATTCAATAATTAGTGCCAACTAAAAATTAATAAGGGAAGCTAGGTATGGCAACAATTAACAAACCCTTGGCTTCTTTGGTATACTAGATCGCTTTATTTTGTTAACTGCCGTTTCTATAAATTTAATCAATCCATCCACCATCTGCTGATGATCGGAATTTGTCGGGAGTGTATAAATATCACAGTGATCATTGCCTTCTATGATCTTTTTGGTTGCAGTATTGTTCAGAGGAAGTAAGTATACCCGAAACCTAAAATCAGTACTTTGAAAACACTGGTTGGCAACAGATAAACTTTATTTCATTTTAATTGTTGAAAATTTTAATTCAAACTCTTACAAGAAATATGGAGATAAAAGAAATTGTTCTACATTTACTAAACGATCACACAGGCACAATTTTTTATTTTTTTTATATATACTTTTTAAGAGTATGATATATGTATTTTGACCCACTGGTTTCATTTTGACCTAATTAATGGAAATTGTAAACTAATAAAAAGTACATCACAAGCCGTAAACCTAACGAAAGAAAAAAACATATCGAACGGAAATACGGGTATGCCGATATTTTAAAATTGAAGTGCATTGGTATGTTAAAATGGGTCATCACTGAACTTTTTATTCCTGCATTTTTTTCTCTAAAATGCATTTTAATAATGCTGAAAATTGGTTAAAAAGGAGGAATAAAGTTTTTATTTAGATTTAGACCATATTAACATGTCTGTGTACTTTAATTTTAAAATCTAAACTGCTAATTTTTAAGATTAGGGAAAAATCCTGACGTGATGGAGCATTTTGATGGCTCCATCGTATTCAGCGAGTCAAAATACTAAAATACAGGGGAGTATCATACTCAGCATACTCTGTTAAAAAGAGTATGAAAAAAACAAATTTTTTTGTGTGCCTGTGTTATTTACTAACCTCCAATATTTCAAAGCATCAACTAAGACAAATTCTGTATCACCACCAGTACAGACGTAATGGTCCAAATAATTCCAGTTGAAATGTTCAAGTTTCTCTGTAGTAAATGAGGCAAAAGATTCCTCATATGTATCATGCCATGGTGCATAAAATCGGTAACGATACTGATAATTGAATCCTGGATATGGATGCCTAAAAATGGTGAACATATATTAAGACAAACCACAAAGATAGATGATTGCAATCTTAAAATGTTTATTAAAAGTTCTGTGTACAAACATTTTTGAAATGACGAACTGTACATACTGTAACAACAAAATGGGACAACCTAGATGAGAATGTAGTTAAAAAAGTTCTGGATTAAAACTTGTGGATATTCAGAATGACATATTTCAACTAGGGCTTTTGAATCATTTTTAGATATTAATTTTTGCCACTGCAGGCCAATAAACTTGAAGAAAGAATTTCAAAATTTTAGGATTGTACTTAGAAATTTCTTTGGTGATTATTTTTTAATTTCATTCCGAATTCTACTATTTCATATAATATACTAAAGGTACAGGTTGAACCAAAACTTGGTCGCCTTTACAGGAAAATGAAAAAAGCAAATAGGAAACAGTAAGGGGTCTTTATAGTATGATGATGTAAGTATATGATTTAAAATTCCATCTTTACCACCCTAAGGAATGTGATGTCAGAAAAATTATTTTTCCCAATTTTAAAAAAGGTTTCTGACATGTCTTCGATTTACAGAGAAATTAAACATTAGCATAACAAGTCAGTATTGATTTTGTCAGCTTGCCATAGAAAACAAGATATTTTCAACATTTATGTTCATTACTGATATGTTTTGAGGAAGCTCGGAAAATTTCAAAATTAACAGCCAATGAAAAAAATATTTGTCAGTAATAAATATAAACATTGACAGTACCTTATTTTCCACATCAACAATGATAAAATCAGTAAAAGATTTGATTAAAGTACTGTTTTTCTCTATTAGTGGCGGCTCGTCAGGTGACGCACCGCATCACCTAAAATTTCCGTTTGGTTGTGCAATTTAAAATTATTTTTAATTTTATATAAATTTTATAATTTAGGTATAATTCTATATTGAAAATGTATTGTGTTTGTTTAATACGCAAAAATAAATAGAATAGTTGCCCGGTGAACACCTTCTAAAAAACCTCAGACTATACAACATATAGTATAAGCAAGTGACGCAGATTGAAATGAGTCTGTATTCTGCTTCTCTTCGTAGCGTTGTTTACGGCAGTTGTCATGGCAACGAGGCGGCCAACTCGGGATTAAACTACGGCGCAGGGGAACGAGTGAAGCAGAAATTGAAGCAGCATCGCCCATCGCCTGCCTTTAACAGTTTATACGATACACGTTGCTCAGTGCATGATTATAACGGTTCTTTGTTAATATTTGTTTTGTATAATAATTGTAGAAATGTTTCCTATGTATGACCTAGCAGGTATTTTGTTGGAAACGCCATTTTCCAGATAGAAAATTGGGGACTAAAAGGATTTTTTAAATTACGAGAGACCTGTGCCTTATTCTCTCGATATGGAAGAAAGGGGAAGTCAAAAGACGTGTACGTTTGAAAGTTTCGAAATGAATGGTATTCGGAGTATAAGTGGTTGTGTGGAAGTTTTCTGTATGCCGTGTTTAATTGTGGGTGGAAAATCGGGCGTGTGAAATAAGAAGGGATTTAGCAATTTTGGGAACATCACGCGAGGTTGTCAGAACAGAAAGCTTCTTTAGAACATACATGTAGGTACAGTGTGTGTTAATGTTCGCAGAAGTCCACAAGCCGAACTAATATTTCTATTTTTTATAAAATCACGAACGTCAGTTTTTCGGTAATATTGCAAATGCAACTAAAAATTTCCAGATTCATTTAGCCGTTTGACCTTGAAAATTTGAAAATTTTCGCTAGCAGAGCTTTTTTTTTTCTTTTTAATCAATCGATGAATATGCTTCACCTATTCTCAATGTCACGAGATGCCACTGTTCTCTATACATACCTTTTAAACAGGAAGAGATCCCCACTTAAAGTTTCCTATTTGTTTTTTCAGTTTTCTTGTAATGGTGCTAATCATCAGTTCTAGTGTTACGGGTTTATTTTATCACCCTGTAAAATGCCGAATTTATTTTATTCCGGCAAGATCTAGACGATTCGGTTCCACAAAATACCTACATAACTATTTCAATTATAATTATTTATACTTAACGTTACTTCATTGATAACAAGAAAGAAAAAGATCAATAAATATTATTATATCAATAATTTCGCTCCAGCTAGAAATGAACGGCTTTATAATTCTATCAACGCCGAGTATGGGCAAAAAGACAATAAGTTTTTGCGGCTTGAAATAAAATTAAAGAGAGACCTGGTATTTAGGCTTGAAAGAAAACAGTCAAAACGCAAAACTGCGGATCTACCCCAGTTGATTAATTAAATAATCCGTTGCATTGCGACCACTGGTTATTGTCGTTGTAGCTAGAAGGCATATTAGTGTCTGGATTTTTGGTGTGAAGTGCAACAGGACTTAATAAGAAAGGCCGCACAACATCTCAGGTAAAGCGAATTGTCACATTTTGGTTTTAATGAGAGCCGTTTATACAAATTTGAGGAGGTGAATCTATTCACCCTCACTGCCTTTATTGCCCGCAATAACTCCGTTCATTTCTAGGCCTTTTCTTTGTGATTGTCTATGGTCGTCCATTCTGGGACCGACTTACATAATACATCGTGGAGCTGGCAGCCCCAATAATTTGATAACACCCAGTTAGAACATCAGAGATCGAGGAAACGAAATACCAGCCGCAACCCCAAAATTAGCATGTGGTCACTCCGTGGAGGACTACTTATCACCCAGGATCGTTATACCGCCGGACGATAAGGTTATATTTATAATTTATATCATTTCAGCCCTCAAGTAAGTTATTGCCATTTAATATTACATTATATTTAACGCCTGTAAACCTCGTAATATATAATAATAATAATAATAATAATAATAATAATAATAATAATCTTTATTTTCTATAGATTTACCTACTGTAAATATGAGAAATTGTCAAGCGTAAATGTAAATACAGACAAACATATAAAACAAGCAATTAAATACAACTAATAAACTAATAAACTACAACAACTACAAATAATAGTATATAGATAGGTATACATAAGAAATAGCTTTAAAAACCGACAATACATGTAAAACAAATTTAAAATTTAAAATGGTCCCTAACGCCAGTCCAAGAGATCGCTAGTGAGGTATTCCTCTACATTGTAAAAAGAATAATACTTTAATAATTTTTTTACTTCGAATTTAAAAGGTATAATATTTGAAATATCTTGGATATCATGAGGCAGATGATTATATAATTTGAGTGACATTTTTGCAGACGATTTGGAGACTTGGGTAGTTCTACAGTACGGTATGTGTAGTATGTTTGAATTTCTTAATTCGTATGGATTCAGATCACCTCTCTTCGGGAATTTTTCTAAATTTGTTTTTATATAAATTACGCAATTTAAGATATACAAGGAATAAACAGTTAAAATTCCATTTTGTTTAAAATAAGATCTACAGGAACTATTACGTTTTAAATTGAAAATATTTCTGATTATTCTTTTTTGCATTATAAAAACTTTATATAAACTACTACTGCACCCCCAACAGATAACTCCATAATTTAGCACAGGTTCAATGCAACCGTAATAGTACAGTTTCAAAATTTCTAAACTGAGGCTTCTTTTTATACTCCAAACAACATAATTTTTTGTAGCTAATTTTTTCAGAATTCCATTTATATGAAAATCCCATGAAAGGTGATTATCAAGGTACACTCCCAAAAACTTAACAACATCATTTTGCAATAAACTTCCCGTTGAAGACTTAATTAATAAGCTATAGTCATCCCGTGTACCTATAGATGAAAATTTTATAAAACTTGTTTTTGTCAAATTCAGCACTAGTCCATTATGACAACACCATTGCTCCATTTGAGCAACGCATTCCTCCGATAATTTACATAAATCCCGCTCTCCGTTTGAGCTAATTAAACAAGATGTGTCGTCTGCAAATAACGAGCTAGAACAAGTGACACCAAGTCTTAGGGGAAGGATATACTACGGGGGGCCTTCTTATTCCTTATATTAATTGTACTAAAATATATACCATTGGTTTGTAACAAAAACAGGGACGTACTGGTACGATTCTGTAACCGTTTTGGGTCTAGTGCCACCCCCTATTGCCTATTCTTATTATGATCATAGCTTGACCAATCAAAGACGTTATTAGGTATAGTTAATTGATTTTTTTTTCCTTTTCATTACAATAAATCTTAAAGTTACTATGCTCTTTCGTTATTTTATAATTTTCGTTGAGTTATCATAGCCTTGATGCACCAGCAGAGATGGAGACTGCACCTCCACGCCCTATCTCACTGAGCTGCCGGACTCTCTGCTAACTTTGCAACCGATCAGTCACAAATAAAAAGGCTATATATAACTAGCAGTCTCGCCCCTTTTAGTTTTTTTAGTATGCTACCAGGTCCATGAGTGGGCAAACGTAGTACTAGGTCGCCCTGAATAAGAACCAGTAACAAAAGCTATGTATTTTATCTTTTTGTATTACATTCTTCGAATTTTGGCAATATATTTGTTTAATCAGTTTTTTTATATCATTTTAACACTGGTTTCCTTATATATTATTCTGACTTCAAGAGTCTATTGGCCTTCAGTGGCAAAAATAAATTAATTCCAACAAATGATTCAAAAGCCCTATTCAGAATATTTTTTGCTAAAAATTATTGAATATCCACAAATTCTTATCAATATTTTTTTAGTGGTCATTCCTTACTCGCCTAGGTTGCCCTTACCTATTCCTTCATGTGACAATCTGTGTAATAGTATAATAAAAAAATTGCAACTAATTTTCTTTGTTACGTTTCTCATATTTAAACAGAAAATCTGACTTACCTAGGTCTATATCTAGTAACAGAGATTGTGTTGCCAGAAAGCGAAATTTTGTGAAAAAGTCTTCCAATCGATAAATAATAACTCTCGTCATTTTCTGTAGGGCTCTTCCTTATTACGGTGCCCCTCATTTTTGGGTTAGGAGCAGGGATTCCATTACCACAAAAGGCACTGTCAGCCATTAATATCAACTGAAATCCCTGAGCTAACCTTTGAGATATTAATTCCTTGAACACTTCCATCGTAGTTAATGGTTTCTTATAGGTAGCACGTTGTTGAGCAAAATCTGCATTTACGCTGTCTGGTAATAAACTGTACAGAGACACTACATAGTCGATATTGAGAGCTCGTTTGTCAGGAAAATAATCTGTTGTTATCGGTAAACATGCTGGGATTGTTAAAGACTTCCAATCCACTCCTGCCATTATAAAAAAACATGTAGTAAACATTACTGATTAAGTGCCGGGAACAGAGCCAGATAAAATTTTCAGGTTGAATAAAATTCTTTTAATGAAAAGCCAATACCATTTCCACATTTTGTTTTTTTTTTTATAAATCTGATATTGTTAAAATGTAAAAAGGTTAATAACAATAATTAGTGTTTATTTATTTTATTAGTATCTTTCAAATAACTTTCGCGGTAATATTTTTGAAACTTGTCTCATGACGTAAACAACATAAAAAAGTTAAAGAATTATTATAATGAATAGTTACAATATTTATAAAAAATCGGACGCTAATAAAATAATTGCGGTACTGTGTAGACATAATAAAGATTCAATCTGAAAATTTGTTTAAGAAAGGAAGCCAGCTAACTACTGCGAATTGTTAGTAAGTTAGTAGAGTTAATATTCTCAAAACATATGCAAAAACTATTTTGCATACGCCTTAAGAGTGGGTTAGTAAATGAATCAACAAAGTACTACAGAGAAGAAACTGACGAAAATAAAATGCATGTAATTCGCTTCAAAGAAGGAATTGATATGCATTTTATTCAAGAACTACTCGACAGCAATGCTATAGGTGGAAAACAAACACAAATATTTCAACAATATACCCAAAAGCTAATAATCAACATATTTACTCTGAACTGAAAAAAACTCTGTAAACATATCTAGAATAAAAAAAGGTACAATATAATAATTATTCAAACCTATGAGAACGTCATTGACTGCACATCCAAGGGATCCGCCAGGGCCATGGAACAGAAACAGGTATATTCAATGAAGCCACTCCTAGACGGGGGACCTTGGCCCCCGTTACATTACATAAATACATGATTTATGAAACAACGAGACAACTCAATAAGCTTAAAGGGGCAATAAAAATGTTTAGTGAATATAATATGTTTAACTTTACTCATACAAATTGAGGCATGTTATACAGGGTGAGTTATAATTAGGTATAAAAAACATTAACTCAAGGTTTTTTTATTCAAATAAAACAATAAACTGACTGTACCTCAGTAACATGTTTACTTAAAAATAGATAGCATTGGTTGTTGCATTGTTTTCCTGAAACTATTTTTTATGTTCATGGTTTAAAAGATAAACAATTTTCATGAAAGGTTTTATTTTCCAAAAAAGAAAATATATATTCTTGATGAAAACTGGTATGTGTCATTATTTTTTATAACAAATTTAAAGTTTACATAAAAACTAGTTTTTAAAACTGTTCATTTTATTGTTGATTGTATTTTTTTGATGCGTTTTCAAATGAATGACATAAATCATCTAAAAAATGTTACCCTCATGTATCTGTTAGGGAAGCAATTTGGTTTCGAGGTGTATTCAGTTAGCCGTTTTGTTTTGTCCAGAAGTAGAGAATCCAAATGTACTCGCGCTAAAATAAAGGAAGGAGCTTATATTATTATTTATTGCGACGCAAGTTACGCTCCTTAATATATGCAACCTCATATACAAAATGTGTGCACAGCGAACGATTAGATGTGCCCTTTGTTTTGATTGGCTAATCAGGCATGCGACCCAGTACACGAATATATGGAGTTATGTGACTGTAACAACGACAGCCACTGCTGCAGTCAATGCAGTAATATTTCGTACGTGGTATGTGGTGGTTTATTTCTGCGAGTGGCACATGTGAATATTTTCATTTAGGCGTCTACGGATATTATAGTTATTAAAATGTAAAAATTGCGGGTGATTTTGATGTAGATATATGCAAGGACTATAATTTAAAAAATGAACTATTGTCACTGTTACAGTCATATAACTTTGAACATAATATAGAAGAGTACACTCGAATTACACCTACAAGCAAATCTGGAATTGACAATATATTTACTAATTTTACTGTTTTGTCAGCACATGTCATACACACAGGGATTTCAGATCATACAGCACAGATGATTAAATTTGAGTTAAACAAAAGAAATAATAATAATTTTGAAATAAAAAGATCATTTACTAAACAGAATATACAGTGCTTTGTCCATATGTTAGAGACAACAGATTGGTCACCTGTGTATGATGTGTCGCCAAATAATGTAAATGAGCAATGGCATATTTTTTCAAATATATTTATGTATTATTTCAATGAAAGCTTTCCAGTTAAAAAAATATGTAAGACATTAAAAAATAATAATAATGTATACATGAAGGATGAGGAACTTATTATGTGTAAAAATCGATTAGACACTTTATATATATATGTAGCTCGGTGGATATAAGATACAAAGATACTTACAAGATGGTGAAAAAAGAATATAATAATAAACTTTTAGAGAAAAAAGCAAGTAGTTATCAAAGCAGAATACTCAAGTCTGATAACAAAACAAAAACAGTTTGGGAGGTAGTCAAAGATATTAGAGGAAATGTTATTCAAACATACCAACCGATTGAAATTGACGGTAGTGCTAAGGAAGTAGCAGATAAATATAATAGTTTTTTAGTAAATTATGTGAATGAAATGATTCAAAACCAATGTCATATTCCTTTTACTCATAAAATTAAATATAACGAAAATGTCATACATTTAAAACGAGTAACAGTTAAAGAACTATTAGAAATATCAAAAAAATTGAAAAATAAAATGTCCAGCGGAGTAGACGAAATACCTACAAAAATTGTTAAAACATGTATGAGTCAAATAGCATCAATTATGGTTTATATCATTAACAATTCTTTAAAATTCGGTATCTTTCCTGATGAATTGAAAATTGCTCTAATTAGACCGTTACACAAAAAGGTGATCACACAAAATTTGAAAATTTTCGACAAATTAGTTTGTTACCCAGTTTTTCGAAACTTTTTGAATTAGTTATGAATGACAGAATTGTTAAATATATGACTGCAGAAAATTTGTTTATTAAAAATCAACATGGATACCAAAAAGGAAAATCTACTCAAACAGCGGTATTTCAATTATTAATTAACATAATACTGGATTCACTAGAAAAAAGAGAGATTCCTATGGGCATTTTTATTGACTTATCAAAAGCGTATGACTGTCTTAATCATAATATATTATATGAAAAACTGTGTAGATATGGCATTCGTGATTCCGCTCTAGATTGGATAAAATCGTACCTATCTAGTCGAAAGCAGACAGTGACCCTATGCAAGATGGTCAAAGTGCAAAAAGTGCAGGGAAGTACTATTGGCCTTCTTTTGTTTATAATATATATAAATGACCTAAACGAAGTAATAAACATAAATAGAAAGTGTGATATTGTGAATTATGCAGATAATTATGAGCAGGGGGAGCTTTACTGAGCTATTGGAAGATGCAGATAATATATTATCTGTAACAAATAAATGGTTCACTAAAAATAAACAGATCTTAAATAAGAACAAAACAGGTGTAGTACTATTTAAAACCACACATGCTCAATATGAAACAATACAAAATATTAATTTTACAATGTCACCAATTAATTCAACTCATAGTACTAAGTTTCTTGGTATTTATATAGACATTGTGCTAAATTTTAAAGACCATGTCCAACATGTTGTTATGCGACTTAATAATGTAATTTATTCAATGAGGATTATAGCGCAATACATAAAGCGAGATGCATTGAAAATAGTTTACCATGCTAACTTTGAATCTGTGTTTCGATATGGTATAATTTTTTATGGCAGTAGTTCAGATGCCGAAAGGATTTTTATTATTCAAAAGCGCGTGTTACGAATAATCCTAAAAATGAAGAGTAGAGAATCGTGCAGGGGAAAATTCAAGGAAAATAAAATTTTAACTTTCACAGCTGTTTACATACAAGAAATATTATTATTCTTTTTAAAAAACAGGCATTTGTTCACAAAAATGTCTTCACAACATAACCATCAAACCAGAACTGAGGATTATTCCTATCCGATACACAGATTGACAGTTACAGAAAAAGGTGCCTTTTATAATTGTATTAAAATGTATAATAACTTGCCTGCTGATGTAAGAATAATTTCAGATATAATAATTTTCAAAAAGAAAATTTTCAATTTATTAATAGATCTGGAACCATATACTGTAAATGAGTATTTTAATAGTAATAGCTTGTAAGGATGAATTGATCTCTGAAATCTATTACATAGGTATTTCTTTTTTCTATATGGATAGTTGTAAAAAAAATAAAGATTATTATTATTATTATTTTTATTATTATTATTATTATTAAAATGAATAGCGTTTCGTTTTAAAAAAAAACTTTATTTGGTTCTCTGCCTTATGAGGATAAACTAAAAATAAAGAATTAGGTGGGCCAACACCACAATTAAATATTAAAGTTAGTGGACCAACCTGAAGTAAAAGTTATAATAGACAATTTAACAATAATGTATACACAAAAGCAGAGTGGGTGTGCAGGTGTGATTTAAAAAATACACTGTTTAGTTTTCCGTACTTACTTTTCAGTGGGGATAAAGCATGGATATACAGTGTGAAGGATTTAAGTAATTTAAGTCATTAGGTAAAATAAACATAAGAACTCAGTTAGATTCTGCATATTGGGAAAATATACGGAAACACAATGAACAGGTAACGAAAAATTGTTATGTATTATCTAATATCATAGACTGCAAAAAATTTTGCGGAGCTTTCGAATTAGCACTTCGCGGACACGACGAGACAGAAAATTCGGACAACTCTGATGTGTTTCGTGGACTCATAAATTTTAGTGCAGATCTTGACGACATATTAAAAGAACATGGGTATGACCGGGATTTTCTGTGATTGTACCGGGTATTAGCTGATAGTCCCGGATTTCGGATTTGCACATATAACTCCCGGAATATAATATAATGTACATGTAATGTACAAATAAGATCCACTTTTTATTTGTGGAAGGGCGAAATGGGCGGTGACTATTAAACGTCTTCATTATAGCCATCTTCCTCTATCGCACGGATTTCTATGACTTACTTTATCGCTCTCACGTAACGGCCGATGAACTATGGGGACTTTCCGACCCTGTATATAAAAAAAAAGATAAAGAAAAAATCACAACACGGCGAGGAAAATGAAAATTCGTTGAATCGTTGGTAAATTTCACAAACAATATTTTTGTTTATTATATATATTCAATAATTTAATAAAATATATTTAGTTTATTCCAATTTATTTATACCGTCAGTAGGTAATTCGTGAATAGATATTTCAAAAATCGTTCTTGTGAAAATCTGTATTTTTGTATAAATGGATTGTTCCTTGAAATTCAGAAGTGCCAGGAAAACGCGTGACCTTGAAAATTTTAAAATTTTTCGCCTGCGGCGCCATTTAGAGACTCTCCAGCCACTTACTATCCCGGAATTTAATTCAACAAATGTAACAACCCTAAGCAGAACACATTGAATCAATGTTCACGCGCCGCCACTGAGTGCATTTAATTACGATTGATATTTCTAACAAAAAGTTATCTAGAATAAGGTCACCTTTGACGCTTAGAGTTTGTCTACAAAACATAACTCACCCTGTATAATCATTTGCCCCTGAAACCCTTGTTTTTGAGATAATACATTAAAGTTTTCCAAAAACATGTTGTCTGAATATCTTTATACAAGAATTTTTATCTATTTTTGCCCAATTAGATACTGTACATCCTTCTTAATAGTTAATTTCAGGGGGGCCAAGCGGCATCTAGATTTTGGCCAACTTTGATAGTAGTGATGAACATTTTGCACAAAAAATCAGCCAAATCGGACCTGTCCCGGCAAAGTTCGAGGTTTTTGGGTTTTTAGGCCTACTTTGACGCGACTAATAATACAAGATTTTGGTTTGCTTAGCCACAAAAATCTATAATTTTGTCCAACATTTAATAAAATATAAAGTTTCAATCTGCTTTCTTAAGAAATGTATAATATACAGTTTAGTCTTGACAGTTAAAATGTTAATTTGTACCAGAATGGTAAAAGCTGTGCAAAAAAGTTAAAAAATTATCGTTCAAAATAAAATTTGCACTTCAAAAATGACAAAAACTCTGTCTTTACCAGTGTCTTGGCTTAATTTTTGAATAATCTGTAACCAGCATATTTCATATCTAGGATACTGGTTTAAGTTCAAACTGAATTTTTTGCTCTAATCCATTTGATTAATGTATTCTGCACACAAAATTTCTCACCAATATTTTCATTTGTTTAAATGTTACTTATAATATATTTCTTATTTAGCTTTAAGATCCTGTTTGGAAAATACAAGGGTTTCAAGAGCAAGTGTTTATGAAAATATTCTTAAATTTGGACGAAGAAACTGCTCCTTCAGTTTTATGTTACATTCTGTATCATCAAGACCAGAAACAGATTCTCATTCAGTTTTAATATATTCTGAAGCCTATAAGATAAAATGAAAAGCATAATATTTAATACTATTTTCTGTATTCTCTATTGCAATTAATATTTGTATAAAATTAATAGTAGTTATATTTTCTTTCAAATTCAATAATTATCATATAAAAAAGTTCTACCACATTATTTTTGAAACCTGTCATATGTTAGTAGAACATTTTAGCAATGTTGATGTTTGTTATTTTGTTCAACAGTATTTTATAATACTTAATATTGGCAACATCTATGTTATATGTATCCTTTAGTATAAGATAGGGTAGCTTATACAGGACGATTCAGTCATTAATTTTAACCGCATATTCCGAAGGTCTAATAAAGCCAGAAAATTGAAAAAAAAACGCAACAGGGAATGCGCCGGCAGATTATAGAATAGAGCATTCCAATGTTGAAGCGAAACAGATGATTTCCTCAGTCTTCTTGAATTTTGCAATTGGTTTCAAAATCAAAGTGCAACAGATCCCAACTTAACAAGGTGCTAGGGATGGATGAGACTTTTTATAGTCATACCGTCATTTTAAATAAGTAGGTACTACTCTTTGAAAAGCAATAAATTACACAATAAGGTATACGTCCTACAAACTGAATAACTAATTGAACACAATACTAAAAACTCATATTCAAATATAAAACATAGTATAAGTCGTTACGATATCAGTTGGAACAGCATAAAAACATTTAACTAATAAACTCTACGGAATCCATAGACGTCCAGAAAAATTTTGTCCTGTCTCGTCTAGAAATACTATATTCCGAGCTATATTCCTATGCATATCCTATTCCGAAGTGCAATTATACGTCGTGATTCCATAATTACCATATGATTGTCAAGTTTCTTATGTTTAAAACATTGTAACAAAACATGTCATAAAGTATCTAAAGATTTATAATTATAATCAAGATAATCGCCTAATTTATCTCGAAACATGTTTAAAGTAGGAACTTTATTTTCTTTACACATATAAATTGTACGCCATATTACATCTCTGGTAAAATCGTCAATATTCTTTAATTCTGTATTTTTCCGTTTCTTCTTTGTACTGTGATTAATAACGTCTCCTTTAATTACGCGATAAATTGTCATTTTTGATATCTTAGTTAATTCGCTAACACGTTTAATAATTTTTTATCACATTGTTCACTATTTTCTCTTTTCAAATATTCATATATATATATATAAAGTAATAAATTGACTTGGTACCTGTAAATCTTTGTTTTTAAACTCTGAGTTTGTTTCGAAGCTTTGGACAAAAACCGGCTAGATTATTTGGGGATTTTCCTGGGTTATTTCGTTATCTTCCGTTTCAAAGGGTCTCCATAAAGCCATGCTCAATTATAGATAATTACATATAATATTTATTTTAATAACTATTACCCTTTACCGGTTACGATATGAACAAATAATAATTTCAACTAATAAATAATAATATGTATTATACCAACAATAAATATACCATGCCAAGAACTGCTCTCCACGCCACTGACAAAGCCAAGTGAACCGCGTTCGACACCAAACTAATTATAGAATACCATGCAAAAAATTATTTACGACCTAGTGGACCAATACAGGTTTGCCTTGACGACCAGCCCGCCGCCGTCGATTCTACATCAGGCGGCCTGGTCTACCAATACCGGACTCGCCTAATGGCTATTCGAGTATAAATTATGACACATCATGGCTAAAGCATAGGAAGAAATTTCAAGAGAAGACGGTCCTGTGCTTTAAGATTCACAGGTTCCAATTGATATCGTAACAACTATAACATAGGTAGTGAAAACAATATTAAAAATACTAAATTGTAATAACCTAACATTCAAAAACAATTATTATCCTTATACATTTGTTTTTATTTACAAATAAATAATACTTGCCAATATTTAAAATGTAAAAAAATATCTTCATTCATGTGTCTAGGTAAAAAGCTGTTTATTTGTTGTCGTTCACTATGTATTAAAAACGCATTAAAAGCTAAGTTAATGACCAAATATTACGGTAGGTCTCACTCTCGATAAACCTTTGTGAGTCAGCTGTAAGGAGTGGTGCGATAAGGAGTTTAAATAATGATTTGAAAATACTTTTTTTTAGCGTAAATATGTATTTTAAAATATTTTTAATTGCATAATTATATTCTATTCATTTTTTCCTATCTTCCCTTAAAATTATGACTGAATCATCCTGTATCATCAATGTATGTATGCACAATAGAGCCTTGTTCTAAAAAATATTATAAAATGGCAAAAAATCAAAGACACAGAAATGCAATTACTTTATCTTAACCGTTAGTGATTTAATTGTAAGTAATAATTATTTCATTGATAAAACATGTTAAAAAACACACTTAACCCCATAAATGCATAAAATATTTAAGAACCTAAATCATGCACTAGAATATTTTGCGACTTTTCATTATATTTTTGGAAAATTCCTAATTTTCTCCTCTCAACAAAGCTCATAAGTATTGTTAAAATTATATTTTAATTAAAACTACATTATTTTCTAAAAATATCAAAAACAAATTCAAAGTGGAAAATTCAACTTTTTACGCCCTAATATTTCACATATTCCTTTCAGTATACCAAATAATAATTCAAAATTTAATTTCTTGAAATGACAACGATGAAAGATGTGGGATGGTTGATATATTTCAATTAGACAAAATTAAATGATATAAAATGTTATATGGTTTCCTGTTAGAAACATTTATGGCCATCTAATTAGTAACTGAAAGCGCACAAAGAACACTGCTATATATTTATAATATTGTACTGTTTAACTGTAAAAGCAAAGGTGAGAGAAACAATTGTGAAAGCATCGAGTGTAATCAAGAAAATAAGTCCATCAAAGACATTTAACAATCTTCTTAGATATTTAATCAAATAAATTATAATTTTATTTCAATTCAGCGTTATGGGATTTTTTTTTCAAAATATAATATGAGTCACATAAATTACATATATGTATTTTATTGCCTATTTTAATTTAACACAAATACGAGAAATGAGCCTTAAACTTATTAATGAATAAAGTTAAACATATATGTGTGCGTACAGAATAAAAAAAAATTTAGTACTTTTTAAAATAATTAACTGGAAACAAAAATTTCGCAAAGCACGACAAATGATGTCCAATTATGTGATGAAATAAACGATCAGAACATATTTAATAATGATATTTATTCGATATTTCTTTAATGTAGTACCCAGAATGAATAAAACTTACCTGTAGTCAGGGCGGGAGTCCATTCTTGTTCGCCCGTTGCGCCCCAAAGGAGGGTTGAGCTTTTCATTGAATTTTTAGATGTGACTGTAATACTATGACCCGTGTTATGTGAATTTGGGCGTTTTTTGCAATCTGCAAGGAGAAAATATTCTGGGTGAGATAATGAAAAATATAACACATGTTGTAAATCGTTCCCATCCCTAATAATAATGAATTTCCTAAGCAATGGGTTTGGAGGCATCAACAGAAAACTTTTATAAATCAAATTAATTGAAATTCAATTGACACATACATTCCTGTAAGGCAGCAGTAGCGCTCAGTGATTTCGATAAGTTACTACTTGACGAAATCTGTCTCTCCAAATTTTCATTTCCCACATTGGACTTATCTGGTTGTGCTGGAACTGCTTGGTAATGGTGCTGCTGAATTAGCACTCCTGTAGGCCCTTTTGGAAATATGTGGGTCCATCTTCTTCTATTCGAGGTCAGTTTAATTGTCACATGAGAGGGATCAAATGGGTTTATTAGAGCTTTTGATTCAAAAGGAGGTGAACCTTCTGAACCAACCACCATCCTTGGAGGTGGAGATAGCTCTCTTTCCACTAAAAAAGCATTATAGTATCAAGTCACGTGGCTTATTGTTGAAAATAATCACACTTCACATCATAATTAATACACCTCTAAAAATAAGCTCTAATTTCAAAGTTGTTTTCTCGTCAATGGCTAATCTAATTTGTTAACTAAAACATATGCTAAAACATATTCAGTATTGTTTTGTGATTTACGAAAATGCCTTTTGTGACATGTTGTGCAGCATAACAGAAAAATAATTTAAAGGTGCTAAGAATGCCACTGTTGTGATGGCAAGAGGTTTTTGTTCCAGTTGGAAACAGCCTCTGGCATATTATTTAGTTACTTCTGTATGTCCTGCAAAAGTACTTGAAGCATTACTGTGAAGTTATTGAAAAAATTGGATTAATTGTTTTGGCCGTTGTTTGCAACATGGGCTCCAATAATATACGACTTTCTAAAAGATTGAACATTTCTGCTGAAAGATCATTTTTTGTTTCTCGAAATAGATGTATAGTTTTTATTTTTGATGTTCCCCATTATTTGTTAAAATATCTAAGGAATAATTTAATTAAATATGATTTTTTCCTAGACAGACATATGATTTCCTGGCAGTTTATTGAAAAATTGTACGAACATGACCAACAATATGCTATTCGCGGGACACTAGCTCTAACCAAGTCTCATATTGTACCTAACAGCTTTGAAAAAATGAAAGTGAAGTATGTGACGCAAATTTTCAGTTCAACGGAAACATCGTGTATATATCTTTATATTAGATTTAAAGTGCTTCCCTCAGACACACAACAAACAGAGAAATTTGTCAGCAATATCAACAACCACTTTGACTTTTTAAATCCCTCAAGTCAGTTTGGAAAAACACAATTTAAAAATGCATATACATTTACAAGTGACGAAAATGATCTCTTTAGAATTTATTTCGACATGTTTCAGAAGTTACAAATAATTAATTCAGGAGGAAAAGATATAACATCTTCAATAAAATGTGTGGGTGGAAAATAACAATGTTAGGTTTTATAAAATTAGCAGAATTAGCTAAAAATGAAGGTATGACATTTTTATTAACTAGAAGGGTGAATCAGGACTGTTTAGAAAATTTTTTTGGGGCAATATGCCAGCAAAGAGGCAACACAATAAATCCAACCCCAATTCAGTTTTAAGGCACTGAAAATTGTAAGGACGTAAGCGGTAATAGATGAAGAAGAATATTCAGGACAGAGAAAAATTGTAATCGACACAGACTTTCAAAAATCAGAAGTTTTAGAATAAAACTTTACAAGACATGTCTGCGGATATTTAATAAACAAATGCTTAGAAATGTCAAAGCACAGTTGTGACATCTGCTTAACATTTGCTAATGCATTAACGAATTAGATGATACATCCATTTTTTGTTATGAAAAAGCTTTTACAACTGTGATTTAAAGTTATTCTTTGACTCTATACCTCATAATACTTTTGTTCAATTTATAACATCTAGATCCTTTTCCAAGAAAATTTTGAAATACATTCTGTTCAAAACAATGTTGTGAACAAGTATGTTACATTATTTAAATCTTTTTGTACACCCTTGTAAAAATTTTAATTATGAACATATTATTTATAGGTTAAGGATATATTATACAATAAAATATACCTGGTATCCCATTTTAATTGATACACGTAAATATCTCGTCAGAGAAGCCAACAATCGAAAAATGGCCCAAGGTAAAAGTTGTTCAGTTCACCGGAGGAAACCAGTTGCTTACCTAGGATTTGACCTTGACAGCTTGAAAGTCAACTTCGGAATTTTAAATGGGATCCCCTATTTTTAACCTATGAAATGGTTTCTGCAGAAAATTTCAACATCTTATTCCGAGGTTGCTTCAAGGGTGACGAATCATTTAAACTCGTTGTGACCTTGACCTTGACCTCGAGGTCAAGGCTGTGATCACATCCGGATGTAAAATTTTTTGCTGAATCCATTTCCAAGGTTAAAAATAGGGGGTCCTATTTAAAATTCCGAAGTTGACCTTCAATTCACCTTCAAGGTGAGGTCAAGGTCAAATCCTAGGTAAGCAACTGGTTTCCCCCAGTGAACTGAACAACTTTTACCTTAGACCATTTTTCGATTGGTGGCTTCTCTGACGAGATATTTACGTGTTATCAATTAAAATGGGACACCCGGTATAAATAGAAATTGTAAAGTTGCTCATAGAAGCAGAAAAACTATCAATTGAAGACATAATTGAAAATAAAATAAATAATACTAAGTAACATTATTATTATTATTATTATTGTTATTATTATTGTTATTATTATTGTTATTGTTATTGTTATTATTATTGTTATTATTATTGTTATTATTATTGTTATTATTATTGTTATTATTATTGTTATTATTATTGTTATTATTATTGTTATTATTATTGTTATTATTATTGTTATTATTATTGTTATTATTATTGTTATTATTATTGTTATTATTATTGTTATTATTATTGTTATTATTATTGTTATTATTATTGTTATTATTATTGTTATTATTATTGTTATTATTATTGTTATTATTATTGTTATTATTATTGTTATTATTATTGTTATTATTATTGTTATTATTATTGTTATTATTATTGTTATTATTATTGTTATTATTATTGTTATTATTATTGTTATTATTATTGTTATTATTATTGTTATTATTATTGTTATTATTATTGTTATTATTATTGTTATTATTATTGTTATTATTATTGTTATTATTATTGTTATTGTTATTGTTATTGTTATTGTTATTGTTATTGTTATTGTTATTGTTATT